AACTCTGTCATCTCAGCAAGTGCTGTCCAGCCACGATGGGGGAGGACCTTGTGCTGCAGTCTGGCATGGCCTCAGCACCTGCTGGAGCCGCTGTGAGATGGAGTTACCTTGGCTAGAGTTTGGAGTGTCACGGGCTGGGCTGAGGGTTCCCGAGGCTGAAATAAGGAACCTAAGCCACCCCTTTAAAATAATTGTGCAAGTTCGCTAACTTTCATCTCAGAAGAAGACTTTTCTGGATGCATCAGTAAAAAGAGGCAGGAGAAAGATTTATTAGAGGAGATGTAGGATACAAGAGCGGAGTGCAGGTGCCCAGAGAATTGAGGTGCAATTGAGTTGGGGTAGGGCACCTTTAGGGCTCTTATCAATAAGGGCGCCCTGGGGAGTGTGTTCTCACTGCCAGTGTAATAGTTCTTTTAATAAGATTTTAATGTTGTTTTTAGATTTATACTTGTAATCAGGTTAATTAGTCAAAAATTTTGTGGTTTTAACCTTGAATTTTGGTCATCCTTTGAATATTTTGCTTTTGATGCAGGAATGAGTATAATAAGAATTGTACATAGGTAATTGTTAAATTAATGTAAATCTGAATTGACCAAGACAGGTTAACTTTTCGTAAATCTGCCACTAGACACTATAGTTTAAGGAAATGTGTATGGTTACTAAGTTAATTAGGGGTGGATTGTGGTGGATTGATAACTGGTGGTCAACTTGTAACACCCAGCTGAACTGAACCAGCATTTTGCTGGGTGTGAGGCCCACCTGAGGACTATTGCCAACAACATAAAAAGACAAACTGGAAAGGAAGAAGTTGAGGTGCTACTGGGGAGCTGTTGGTTCTCCTGGAACTGTTGGTGTTTTTGAAGGAGTTTGTCATGCTGGCTTTCCTGATGAACTCAGCTGTTCTCATTGTCAGAGGAACTCAAGACCTTGTCACTGGGAATGGCTGTGGTTCACTTTGGGGGAGCTCTGATCCTTACTTTGAGCATCACTTCCTGGCTTGGGAGGGGAGGATGGTGCACTGTTCAGTGTCCTAGAGAAGCTTGTCATGCTGGCTTCCCTGACACGGACTCAGCTATTCTCATCATCACAGGAGTTTAGGACCTCGTTGTCACTGAGGATGGCTATGGTACCTTTTGGGAGATCTCTGGTTCTTACTTTGAGCATTGTTTCCTGGCTCTAGTACAGATCCCCCAGCCTGCTGGCAGACATCCTTCATCCCACTGGCACAGACTTTCTAGCTTCCACCACTGACCTTTGGCCTTCCCAGTACAGGTCCTTGATACAGACTTGCATGAGACATTGTGTTGGGCTCTAGGCCTCCAGTTGGACTTGTGGAGGGCATTGCCACGGGCTCTAGGTTTTCAGCTGGACTCATGCAGGACATTGCTATGGGATCCAGGCCCTCAGCTGGATTCTTTTGGTCTTAGTGTGTGGACAAATTTCCTTCACTCTCTTTGTATATGACTCTTTGGGTGACTATTATAAAAAATTCTATAAATTACGTGTCCTGTGTTGTTTCCCTTATAAACCCTGACTACAACTGCCAGGTCACAGTGCAAGCCATCCATGTGGGTTTGAAGTGGCGATGGCACGAGACAGGCTGTCCCCATCACACCTGTGTTCAGGGCAGGAGAAAACAGAAGGAAAAGGTGATTTCTGGGTGAGGGGATAGGTGGACTATGTGCGGCTAAAAGGGACATGCCCAGGTGTGCTGTTTTGGGAGTAAATACATTGGGCTTGTGTTCTGAAGCTGCAGGGTTTTTGTTTTTTTTTTTAAGTACAATTTTAAATTGTCTATTTCCTGCTCTCCTTTGTATCCAGTTTTATTTCTTCTACCTCAGGAGGGCTATTTCCATTCAGGTAAAAATCCATTGGAGAGATACTGAGTGATTATTGATGTATTCATTCATTTAACAAAATTTTTTTTAACACAAACTACATGCCAGCATCTTTGGGGTTGGACATGAACTATAACAGTTGGATGGGCCAATAATAGTTCAGGTTCTTGTATTTGATGAGGAAAGAATTGCCAAGCATAACATATACCCAGTAGTAAGTAGTAAGCAGCTACATTTATTTTTTTGTTTTTTTAATTTCCTTTGCCCTGATGAATATCTTTTTTAAACTTTTTTTTTGAGACAGGGTTTCATTATGCAGTTCAGGCTGGCCTTGAACTCACTTTGTAGCCCAGGCTGACCTTCAATTTGCAGTGATGCTCCTGCCTCAGCCTCCCAAGTGCTGGGATTACAGGTGTGTGCCACCATGCCCAGCACAGCTGCATTTATTGAAGGTCATAGGAAGTTGTGCTCAGGGCCGGTCCGTGCCTGAAAGGTATAACACAGACCAGGGTGACAGAAGGGCACTACACATGGGTCAACATAGCAACAGCACCAGGGAAGAGGGGAAAAGGGGCTGATAACTCATGCTTTCAGAATCTAGAGGCCAGACACCTCTGCTTTAGTGCCTCCCACTGAGGCATTCCCAAGCTGTCAGTGCTCTTGAGGGCACAGGGCAAATTCCTAAGCTTTTGTTATTTTCTCCCTCAGAGCCAGCTGGACATGGAGGGGCACAGCTGATCACCTGGACTATTACAGACAGCTAAGTTAGGTAGAAATATCCTAGGCAGTCAGAGGGTGATGTCCTAAAAGGAGTCAGTACAGAAGATGAGAACACAGTACAGCTGTGGCTGGAGGCACATCTGTTGAAGGGCAAGCCTCAAGATAAAGACAGAATGACCAGGCCTACGTGCCTCCACAAAGGATAAGCAATATGTGAAGATTATACTATAATTGGTATCACCTGGTCCAGTAAGTCTAGATGGACATCAGTCACCCAGGTGGGTGACAAGGACCTCCTGATCCATCCCTTCCTAAGAAAGGCCTTTGTTCTTTCCATGCCCACTTGCTACGTGACCTGCTTCCCCACTGGATCAGTACCACCTAAGCAGCTGTACTTGTAATCTTACTTGGTCAGGCATAGTTTTGATCCAGTTTGTACCCACCTCTTGATTTTGCTCTATAAAACTTTCTTTGAGAAGTTGGCAACCTACTTTCGGGTCCCTTCCTGTTCCTCAGGAGCTGTGTCTCTCAATAAATTTTTCCTACTCTTAACTGCCATTGTTTCTTAGAATTCATTTTTCGATTTTGGGGAACATGAACTCTGTGGATCTGACATGTAACAGGTTGGGAGATATATTATTTCCCCTTTATCAGAAGCATCACGTCCAGCCCTGGCCTCCTGAGGGCATTCTTTGTGAGAGACACAGTGACAGAGCGGGTCAGAACAGGGTGGTCAGAAGGAGCCCTCTGAGGAGAGGACGCAGGTGAGAGCTGGTGTGGGGTGCTCCGCTGGAGGGAGCCAGGTGCCTGCTGTGTGCAGGTTACCAGGTGGGGATACTACCACTGTGGTCAGGCTTTGCTCCAGGTGGCATGAGAAGATAGCTATGGGGGCTAAGCACAACGGAGATGCAAACTGAGCTCCCTCAGATGAGGACAGACTGGGCCGAGAGACCGAAGAGCTAGCTGGCAGGCAGACCGGGCAGGCCCAGAGGACGGGCCTGGATGGCAAGAACTGGTGGAACTGGATCTACCCAAGGGAGAGATCCAGTGAAATATGTATGGGTCAGACGGGGCAAGAGCCAGGCACCCAGGGCCATGCTTATTTCCGCCAGCTGCTTGTTGAGATGGAGTCCCGCGGGGTCCCGCGTGAGCGGGATGGTGGGGAGACAGACAGATGGGGGTATGGTTGGTTAGGCTGAGTAGGTGCTGTACAGCCGAGTGCCAGTGCTGGGCAAGGGCGGACTTCGTAGGAAAGGGTTCTCAGTGGCGAGCCTGCGACGGCCCACAAAGCATTAGTAGAGCTTTGATTGAGAAGACACAAATGCAGGGGCACATCCTGTTGGCCCTGGGACTACAAGGGGTGGACAGCGCTGCTGGAAGCCAGCAGGAGGTGTGGGGAAGGGTGCAGCGGGCCGCCTTTCTGCGCGGGGCCAGGCCGGTCTGCTCACTTTCAGAAGTGAAGCGCGGCACGGCACTCCTGCCCTCTGGTGGCCACAGCCTGCAGTGCTTTCTCCCTGATGGCTCCTGATCTTATTTTAGCGCCAGTGAGTTGGTGATTTTCATGTTCAGAGTGCACTCATGAGACCCCTCTTTTTCAGTTTTGCCTTTGAAAGGATTAAAAGAGCCAAATATGTCTTTTCCATTGTCGGAGGCTCCCAGCCACGCTCAGCTGGAGGTGCAGACCGTGTCCTTTCCTCACCAGGTGTTTCGTGGCTCCTTTTAGCCATGGCCAGGATGTGTGCCTACTGGAGCAAGGCAGCTGTGGCCACGTTCTTGAGGCTCCCTCCAGCCCTTCCTTTAGGTCAGGAGCCTGGCAATGTGAGTAGTCCTGGGAAGGATGCCTCTAGGGAGGGTTGGAGGGTCCTGCGTGCTGCTTGTGAGCCTGCAGCAGTTGGTCCTCAACCTGTCTACAGGCGGCTTCTCCTTATACTAAGGAAGACAGGGCAAAAGGAGGAGTAGACAGAGCCATACTGTCTTGGTGTCCTTCCTGTTGCTCATCTGACACTAGTTAGTGTATAAACAAGGTTTATTTGGTTCATGATTCTGGTGGCTGGAGGGTCCACACAGCATGGCCGTGACACCTGGTGAGGACCCCCTGGCTGGTCACAACTTGCTGGAGGAAAAGAAAGGAAGCAGGAACAGAGGAGCTCATGTGAGCCTGGGCACAGCAGGACCTAACCATCTCCTGGAGCCCACCGGGACCAGCTAGAGCCTTCACTGCTGCCCTCAGACTGTTGGGCCTCAGCTGCTGCTGGGGTCTAATCTCCCTCAGCCCTGTGAGTGGCTTGGGGCTGTTGCTAGTGTCACTGACCCCCAGCCTATCCATGAGTGTGCATGGCAGCCTTTTGCTGGCCACTGCATCCTTCCCCAACTTACTGGCACAGTAGGGGTTCTTTGCTGGTCCCTGCTGTCTTCCCTTCACTCTGAACCTTTTTGTTCCAGGAGCTGCTGCTGGAATTTGAATCCAAAATGCAGAAGCAAGAGCATGAGTTCCGCCTGCAGGCCGACAGTATGAGCAACACAGTCTTAGCCCATGAACTCAAGGTAATAGACACCTTCCACATCAGCAGGAAACACCTGTTTTTTGAGTAGTGGGGTGACTTCTGAGCTGTAAATTACACAGTTCCCAGCAAGGTCTTGGCTGCAGGGGCTCAGATGGGGTGCAGGGGTTTGTGAGGTACAGGGGAAGCTGCAGGACCCACCTCAGAATTTCTCTCCAATCAGAGGAACCCTGGCCAGGCTTCCACAGGCCTTGAGGAAGTACCCACTGCAGACTGCCCCATGAGATCCTCAAGATAGGCAAATGGGAGGTGTCTCCCCTTTCTGTGGTAGAGGACACCAGGCTCTGGGGGTTCAGGGCCTGTCTGAAACTGGCAGATGGTACATAGCACGCTGGAACCAGGGCCCTGCTTCCGACAGGACACTGCTCACTGTGTGCACAGTCTGAGCACCACCACAGATCCAGCCGGGGCATGAGGAGTATATGCTGTGTACCTGGAGGATACAGGACAATGCCCAGCCTGTGAGGGGCCTGCAGTGGGGCAGAAATGTTACTGCTTGTAGACAGGATGTGGAGGGTGACACCTGATCTGGCCTCTGTGGGTCACTGCTGGGCCACATCCTTTGTGGTTAGCACAGAGCCCCTCCCCAAGCCTCCTAACCTCCCCACAGTGTAGCAGTCCAGGTGTAGCACTAGGCCCAAGGAGACGCAAGGACCCTGGAGGGCAGTAGACAGGTGATTGGAGTCCTAGGGCCCAGGCCCATCTTACCTCCTGCACAGATATCAGTGCCCCCACCAGGCAGTGCCAGCCACGTCCACCAGTGCCTTTCCTGGCACTGGAGCCCTGCATGAATACCACAGTGGTGTGCTAGGCCCTCCTTAGGTCCTTGGAGTTAGTGCTGACCCAACCAGACCAAAGCTGTCTGGCCTCAAGGCCAAGGCTGACACCCCCGGGGCCCTCACAGAGCCACTATGGGAACCTTTGAGCACAAAAGTGGGGAGAACAGGTGAGTCACCTGCATGCCCTGTCTGCCTAAGTGGGAGCAGCCAAGGTAACCCCACTGTCACCTTCATCTGCTGGGAGGCAGCAGACCACCCCCAGCCTCGAAGCAGAGTTCTGAGGCACCCTCAAGGGACAGGACCCCTCCTGTGCTGGCTCAGAGTGCCTTCAGAGGGTCCTCAGGCCTTGCTAAGTTTTTCCTGGGGATGGATATGAGCACATCCTGTTACTTTCTGTTTCTTGAATGTTAATTTTTTCCCCCTCTCAGTCCTGGTGAAATGGCAGTGTTCACCTCTGGCATCTTAGCTTATTCCAATTACAGCCTCATTTTGAATTTTAAATGTTTAATTGACATAGTAATCGCACATACTTAAGGGCCGCAGGGTGCTATCCTGTGTAATGAGGAGGCCAGGGTGCTGGGAAGTCTGAAGTACACAGTTGGCTGTCGAGGTGCTGCCCTTCCATGCCACAGGCTGCTGTGAGTCACTCCGCCTGTCCAGCTGCTCCCCTCCAACAGAACTGCCGAAATCTTCCTCAGGTCAAACTACTGAACAAAGAGCTGGAGGCACTGAAGGCAGCCGGAGCCCAGGCCACAGAGTGTCTGCAGAGGGCAGAGACAGCGAATGCCGAGTTAGAGAAGAAGCTTCAGGGCTGCACTTGGGAGCTCCGGGACCTGGAAGCTGTGAAAGACGCCCGGTGCGTGGGGCTTTCTCAAGACAGCATGGCTGTCGTGACTGAGGTCCGGCTGGTCTGCCCTGGGTGGCTTATTTCAGATCAGCCTTCCTTGCTTATCCACTCTTCCACTGCTTCTGTTTGTGTGTAGGATAAAAGACTTAGAGGATACCCTTCACTCCGTGCAGCTGACCAGGAAGAAAGAAGAAGAGATGTTCAACAGGAAGTGAGTGTTGGGGTTACTGCCCCAGGAGCAGAGGTGGCGCTAAGGAGCTACACAGAGGACCCCTGCTGCTGGGATCTGCACTGGTGTGCTGCTCCGCACTTCCTCTGGGATGTTTAGGCTTTTAGAGTTTTAAAAATTTAAAACTTCTAAGGATTTGGGTGATACACCCATAATCCCAGCTAACCCAGAGGCTGAGACAGGAGGATCACAAGTTCAAGGCCAGGTGGGCAATATAGTGAGACTCTGTCTTAAAATAAACTGAAAAGACCTGGAGTGTAGCTCAGTGGTAGAGTGCGTGTCCAGTAGGTGTGAGGCCCTAGGCCACCAAAAATAAAATAAACCCAATGTTTTAAGGGCAAGGGGTGTGGTTTGGTGGTAGAGATGTGCTTTACAGGCCCTGAGTGTGGTCCTCAGCACCAAAGGGAAAAAATTTTTTTAAACTTTAAAAATTTCGGAAATTTTATTAATTTATCAGTTTTACATTGCAGCCAAGAACTTTATTTTTTTTTTATTCCTACCTTTCATTTACCTTTCATATTTTTTTTAAATCGTCATAGCAAAGTACATAGTTTTGTTTTCATGAATCTAAAATTCTCAAGAGTCTGGAGCAGCATGGGTTCTCAGCGTGCCAAGAAGGAGCCCTAAGCCTGCAGGCTGAGGCGGAGTCCGGAGGAGCTGGGGTGGAGCAGGTGCCCCCCTCAAGGGCAGGGCAGTGAGCCAGCTTCCTGGGGGAGCTCAGGCTGCAGGCAGGGTGGGCGCAAGTGGAGTTGAGAGAAGCTCATTTCAGCTGCCGCCACAGGAATCCTTTCCCTTACTTCTCTGAAGACATATTGTAGTGACTGTGAATGAAAAACATGTAGGATGTAAATTAATTCGCTGTGTTCTAAAAATGACAGAGGGGTGGCCCGTGGCTGACTTTTCTTGTATTGTCTCACATTTTTGTTGCCATGATGTTTGTGTGATTCCTACAAACTGAAGGGAACTTTGAAGAAACTGCTTATTGCTCTGGTGCATCATCTGAGCAGCTGTTTTTTGTTTGTTTGTTTGTTTGTTTGTTTGCCTTTGTGGGTTTTTTTTGAGACAGGGTCTCACTATGTAGTCCAGGTTGGCCTTGAACTCACAGCAGTCCTCCTGCCTCAGCCTCCTGAGTGGTAGGGTCATAGGCATGCACCACCATGCCTGGCAGGAGGAGCTGTTAGAAACTGCATCCCTGCCTCCTGTGCCTCAGCAGTGGTGGTGAGAGATGGCCATGCCCTTACCTAGATGAGGACCCAAGGCAGAGGGGTGTGGGGCTCAAGTGGACACAAGCAGGACCCAGGCACAGAGCTGCTTGCCCAGCCTCCCTGTGAGGCTGAGAAAAGGCTGGAGACAGTCCTCTCGTCACGTGGTTAAAGCTACACCTAGAGTCTTTTCAAATCAGAAATAGAAACCAGAGACAATGAGGTCAAATTTCTTGCATTAAAGAGTTGACTGAGTTACTGTTTTGGATGCTCCCAGCATAATCTAAACACACAGTGACTTAATATCCATTGCCGTGACTCAGAACCCTGAAACCACCTTCCTCAGCGTGTTTTCCCCCTTGAACTCCCTACTCTCATTGTGTTTCCCCACAGGATTTTGCCTGAGCTATTGTTTTTATTTTATTATTTTATGTGATGTTATTTATTTGATGACACAGTCTCACTAAGTTGTCTAGATTGGTCTTGCTCCTCCTGCCTCAGCCTTCCAGATAGCTGGAATTACAGGCATGCATTATCACACCTGGACTGAACACATTATAATTTTTATGCTTGAAAAAATTAGAATCAATCATCCATAGCAATTATGTGTAGTCATATAATTAAAAACAATAAAATTTGCTGGATTCAAAAGTGCTAACTGTTCAGAAAGGTTTCTAAAGTAAGATAATTGTCAGTCTATATCTACAAAACAATACCATAGAACTAAGATTCATAATTATTCAGTAGGATACATCCTATCTTTGAGTCAGTGGGTCCCTAACACCAGATGTGGGCTGAGTGGGTCCTGTGGCAGCGTCTCGCTCCCCATGGCCACCTCGAGACTGCCCCATGAGACTGCCCCACGACCATGGCTGTCAGTGGCCTGTGTGCTAGAAATATAATGAGCCCAGCCCAGTAGCACCAGCGACCTGGTGTTGACCTGCTACGGCCAGGGGCCCGCAGAGTCACTCTCTGGTCAGATTTGGGGGCTCAGATCCCACTGCTACACAGCTGTCACATACACCTGCCGCTCCCTCCCAGGCACCTGTGATAGCCAAGTGCAAAAAGGCAAGGACTGCAAAACACTGGGAATCTTGGGCTACACTGACCAGGAGAGTGCTCCTTGTGTGCTGGCCAGAGCGGGCACCAGCATCATACTCTAAGTAAAGTGCTGTTGTCAGAAGCCTCCCCTGCCAGCCAAAGACTGGCAGACTTAGTTTCAGTGTAGGAAGCATTTTTCACCAGGTCGCCTGAGAGGGAAAGGCCATTGTCATTGTGAAGCAGGACCGTCAGGTTTGCGCTGTGAGTCTCTCTACTCCCAAGCGTATTTGCAGTGTTGAAGGGATATTCTGAAAACACTGAGTCACAGAACTACTTCAACAGATGAATTATGAGAAGCAGGCCAACTAAGACAATTTCATGCTGGTGTTCTCAGTGGTTAGTGCATGGAAAGAAGCTCGTGCATTCGACCTGGTGGTCAAAAGGGGGGAGGCAGGCAGCACCTGCACTTTTGCTTTTGTGGCCTGGCCAAGAATGCTGGTGGGGTACAGGCTGTGCGTTATGCACTGTTTGGTGTCTGGTGAGGAATCGTGAGTTCAGGAGGGCACTCAGGGATCCAGGCATCAGTCTGTGCTTATAAGGTAGGAGCAAAGAGCAAACCCGCAGAGAAGAGGGGCAGGTGCTGCACACAGAAATGGGGCTGTCTAGCCCAGGACGAGTGTACCGTCAGCTTCAGTCTGTGAAAGAGCCATGAATGCTTTAGAGGGATCTGGGCCCTGTGTGAGCTGCCATGGCACCCTCCCTCTGTTTCAGACATGAGGAACTTGACCGTCTGGCCAGGGAGAGAGACGCAGTGTTGGTGGCAGTGAAGGGTGCCCACGTGGAACAGCTGCGGGAATCAGAAGCCAGGGTGCAGGAGCTGCAGGCCCACTGTGAGAGCCTTGAGGTGCAGCTGCGCAGGGCTGAGTGGGCTCAGGCCGATGCTGCCAAGGAGAAAGATGCCGTCATTGACAGGTGAGGCTGTGGCACCACCCTGCCCATCCTGGAGGGTCAGGTGCCCTGTTTATCTGCGCTTGTGCTCCTGGCAGCCTCATGCCACAGCAGACCGAGGGAAATGGGCAGCGGGTAGGACTGACCTCTGTAGCGGTCTGGCCTTCTCAACAATCCTTTTATTGCTCATTTTTGAAATTGAGTAGTGTGTATGTGTATATACACATGCTTGTGTATATACACATATACACATACCCTGCTTTGGTTCTTTTGTTATATGCTGGAAACAAACTGCTGGATCATACAGCTCTGTGCTTATATATTGGAGAACTGCCCTCTGGTTTTCATGGTGGCTGTGCCATGTCAAGTTCCTACTAACAGTGCACAAGGTTCTTGTTTCTGCATAAACCCTATTCCTTTCTGTTAGTGAGCCAGGCCACAGCCTGAGCAGCTCCACGGGCAGCAGCAGGCTCCAGAGGACTTGGCCTATACCAGGCTGTGTTCACAGGAGCCACTGAGGCAGGTCAGTCGTGTGCTGGTGCTGACATGCTTAGCAATGTGTTTTGCCCTTTGGGAAATTCTTGTCTTTGTTTTACAGAAAATTGTTCGCCAAATTATATTTCTCATTTGGATGGGGGTTGCTCTTAGAACTGTGAAGTGCCAGGAAGGTCAAGGTCTAGTCAGGATTGTTCCTTTAGACTTCATTTGCCCTTTGTTAGTTTGAGGAGCAAGGTTCTGGCAGTTCTGGCAGTAGAGGCTGGCACAGCCACAATGCCTGGACCCAGGGAGAGTGTGGTTGCACCTTCAGCATATCATAGGCGGGCCAGTCTGAGGCTGTGTCACTCCCATGCAGGCCTTGCCCAGCCTGCCTGCCTGCTCTCAGCCTCCTAAGTAAATGCTGTGCTTAATTCTCCTTTTTTTTTTTTTTTGTCTTTTTGAGACAGGGTCTTGCTGTGCAGTACAGGCTGGCCTTGAGCTCACTTTGTAGCCCAGGCTGATCTCGAACTGGCAACGATCCTCCTGCCTCAGCCTCCTGAGTGCTGGGATTATAGGTGTGTGCCACCACACTCGGCCTCCTTTATTTTCTGTCCATGAGTGGTTTCTGCTTATTGAGGATCCTTACCACACAGATGGGCATTATTCTGTCAGTAGAAAATGGGTTTGTGGGTTCTGAAGCACCTCTGAGGCTTCTCCTTATCCTGTAAGTTAGTGGTAAGTGATGACCCCCACTCTTAGCTTTCCATGTGTGAGCAGACTCATGCTAGCTTAGAGTTCTGAACCCAGGGCACACCCAGAGGGTTAATGGTGGACGGATACAAGTCAGTGGTGACCGTGTTCCCCACCAGTGCCTGTGTCCTTCTGTGTCTCCAGTGAGAGTGCAGTGGCTATGCCCTGCAACCTAAGTTGGGGCCATGTGCCTGGGTAGGCTGGTGGTGTGGACTGGCCTCACCTTGTACAGTTTGTTTTCTCAAGCACCAGATACCAGCATGAAAGGGACAGTGTCCAGTGTTTGAGTCCAGCCAACTTTTCCCAGATGTCCAGAAATGTCAATGCCTTTGATCTGCCTCTCGTCAGCCCTCCTTTTCAAAACACATCCAAAAGGATTGGCAAGGTGGCTTTTTTACTCTATACAAGGCCAGGCTTGAGGCACTCTAAGTGGGGTTGGCCTGGCCCATCTATCCTGGGGATGCCCTAGCCTACAGTTGCCCACCCCACTTGTCAGTGCCCATAAAGCAGCAATACATGGACATGGGAGCCCCCAGAGGTCTGTGTGTGGTGACGGGGTCGCTGCTGGCCAGCTAAATGGCTTTGGAGGCCGAGTGTGAGGACAGCAGAGCACAGTCAGGCCTCAGGCAAGTGACCTCTTGCTTAGGTTAGAACCATGCCTGCCCTATTTAAATTTAATATCTCTGGGTGTCTTCTCTCAGTGTTCTTTTTTTGTTCCAATTCTTTTTTTGTTCCAATTCTTTTTTTGGAATCAGACTCAGGACCTTGCACTTGCCAGGCAGGCTCTTATGCTGCTGAGCTATATCCCCAGCCCCTCTCATGTTTTGTGTGGGAAATTTATCCAGTTTTTGATAATCCTCTACATACAGGCATTGTATCGTTAAGCTGTTTAACCACTTACCAGTCCAATTATTTAATACAGCATAACCAAAAACTATACATTTCTTTTGTTCATTTTTATAAGATAATATAGCAGGAAATATAAAAACAACCTTATCAAATTTATTAAACACAAGTTAGGTATGGTGGTGCACGCCTATAATCCCAGCACTCAGGAGGCTGAGGCAGGCAGATTGCTGCACATTTGAGGCCAGCCTGGGCTACATAGTGAGTTTAAGGCCAGCCTGCACTACACAGTGAGACCCTGTCTTCCCCACACACATAGAAAAATTCAATGCGAGAATCAACTGGTTGAAATGACACCTGCCTGAGTGACACTTGGGACAGTCAGTTCAGAACAAATGTGCTGCCCCAGTTACACTTGGGATAAACTGTTAAGTGGTTAATGGATACCATGGAACCTTATTTTGCTTTCACTTTGGACACGTGTGAGGTGCTGTGCTGGGCATGGCCAGCGGGCTCTGTGGACATTGGAGCTCCTGTTCCTGCCCATGTCCTGGCCCCACACTTGGGTATGTTGCCAGGTCAGGTGGGATTGCAGGATGGGTGGCCATCTCTTCCTGGGTGGAACCATTGTATTATCTAGGGGGATGCTTGAGCTCTACTATAGGGTCCCTTCCAGCCCAGCAAGCGTATGTTTGTTGGAGTACTGTGGAGCAGAGCGCTAGAGGTGCAAGTGGGAAACACCTGATTCACACAGTTCCTTCTGCTTAGGCTCCGGGATGAGGCAGCAGCTCTGAAAGCAGGCTGGGATGCCCAGGTTGCCCAAATGTCCAAGGAGGCAGTCTCCAGAGACCTCCAGACCCAGATGCTGCAGGAAGAGGAGCTGAAACTTAAGGCTCAACTGGTCAGAACCCAGCAGGACATAGACAGGTACTGTTTCCAAGGCCACATTCTGCGAGTACCTCCTAGAGGTAGCCCTGCTGGGTCTGAGGACTCAGGCTTTTGTTCTTTTGGGTTCTGTTTGAAACCATAAACCAGAGACAAACAGAAACAATGCAGTGGAGAGGAGGAGGGTGTGAGTAAGCTTGAGAGGCGTTGGGCTGAGCGGTCTCCCCTCTTTGCAATAGCCAAGAGCCATGCCAGGGTCACCTACCATGTCCTGCATCAGCCTGTCGATGTCCTAGTGTCTGTCTGTCTTATCATTTCATGAACATGTACTTGAGTAAAGATAATCAGTTTTCAGTAATGTACTAAAGTCAGCGTTTTTGAGGAACAATATAAATTTGATAAAACATACCCCATTTTAGCTCTGTGATGATTTTGCTTTAGTTCTCCTTGAGGTTGAACCCAGGGCTAGGCAAGTGCTATACTACTGAGCTCCATTCCTGGCCCTTTCTTTCTATCTACTTATTTATTTATTTATTTATTTATTTATTTAGAGATAGAATCTCTCTATATAGTTCAGGCTGACCTTAAACTCATTATGTAGCCCACGCTGGCCTCAAACTAATGGCGATCTCTTGCCTCAGCTTCCCAAGTGCTGGGATTGCGGGTGTGCACCACCATGCACGGTTCCTCCCTTGACTTTCTTAACTGCTTTCCTGTTTTCAGTTTCATCAATATCTACTCTTTATTCTTTCTTCTATTTCCCTTGACTTTAATTTGTTGTCCTGATGGCTCCTAATATAGAAGTTTGGATGATTAATTCTTCGCTAAGCTGTTTGTGCTATAAGTTTTCTTTCAAGAACAGCTATCTGCATCCCAGATTCTGATATTCAGTTACAGTATTTTCCAATTCCCTTATGATTTCTTCTTTGGGCAATGACTAATCTAGAGAATGGGTGTTATTTCCCATAATTTTGAGTTTTCCAGACTCTGTTCTGTTCTAATTTCTAAATTCTGCTATGGATTGAATACATTTAGCATGGTGTGTTCCTTCCATGTTCCTCCATTCTGTCTCAGCAGCTGGCCACATGGACTCGAAGAGGATGTTCTGTCCATGTTGGGCTCAGGCTCTGGGAATGTCACTTGGGCCACGCTGGCAAAGGGTGGCAGTCTTGTCACCTGTGCGCTCATGGTCTATCTTTTGGCTGTGTCGTTCACTGGCGATGCAGCTGTGGCTTAGCTGTCTGTCAGCTTTCTCATTCTGTACGGGCTATGAAGTTCCCATCAGGCATGGACATTCCGCACTGTCCTGGCTTCTCGAGGAACTAGCCCTTTTTCTCACAGCAATAGTCTCCCCTCTTGTCATGGTGGTTTCTTTGCCCAGAGCCCACTGTCTGGCATCGACAGCCTCTCAAGCCTGCCCCCCACCCTGTTACATGGTGACTGTGCCACCACAGCCACACACACTGCCTCTTGTTCTTACACCCGCCTGCTCCTCAGAGAGTTTCTCGTTTGGTTTTAAGAATGTTTGCTTCACTGCTGGTCTTCTTGCACAGCAGTGCTTCTGCTTCCTTTCATGGCCGGGCTCTTCCCCAGTATTTGGTGCTCTCAGCCTTGGGCCTGGCCTGCCCTGTGTGCATTACAGCAGCTTCCCTCCACCTTCAAGCTTCAGCACAGCTATATGGAGATGAAAGAGCAGTCCGTGCATGCTGCAGCGCCCTGCGGACTCAGGAAACACTAATGTGGGCCATTTGGATTGGTCCCTAGGTACAAACAGCAGCTGTCCCAGGCTGTCGAAAGGGAACGGAACCTGGAGCGTGACCAGGTGCAGCTGGGCCTAGACTGGCAACGGCGCTGTGATGACATTGAGAGAGACCAGATCCAGAGGTCAGAGGCCTTGATCCAGGGGCTGACAAAGGCCAGAGATCAGGTGTGTATGGCCCTGCATCAGGAGACAACCCGGAGCATGCGCAGTGCTGAAGCAAGATGGCTTTGGCTTTTGCTAATGTATTTTGTGCATTTGAAAGCACTAAACCTCACTGACCAGTTGACTTATGGAAGCAAGGTCACAGTAGTAAAACTATGACCCTGCCCTGTCCACCAGCTTCTAGCAGGGGTTTGTTGAGTTAGCTAATATCCCACTGATGAGCAGTGTGGTTCATTGGTGTTGGTATGGTCCCGGCAACAGTAGCCTGGGCACCAGGACTGGGCAGATGGATGTCACTCTCGTCACAGCGGGGACAACCCAGCATCCAAAGCGTGCATGCGCTCTGGTTCTCAAGGCACATCTCACCCCTGCCTGTTGTACACTCACAGGCAGACGGGGGCTGGCACTGTACCCTGGAGGCCAGCACTGCCTCACAACCCCCATGGGTGTTTCCCAGGTTGCTGCCAAGCTTCAGGAGACAGAGCAGGCCCTGCGGGAGCAGGATGTGGTACTGAAGGCTATAACCCTGGAGCGAGACAAGGCCATGGAGGAGCTGCAGACATGTGGGCTCCTCCCCAAACAGGAGCCACAGGTGAGCACACCCTTCCTCCCCTGCTGGCTCTGCAAACCTCAGCTCAGCAGCTGCAGTGGAGATGGTGCCCGTGTGCACAGAGGCTGAGCGGGGCCTTCTCAGTCACGCTTATTTTGATGACGAGTTACACACACACACAGGTGAGTCTGAGGCTGTGAAAGATTAAAACAGGTAAACCCAGGGTTCCTAATCTTTTTTGTATCTTTAGCATTTGAAAACTAAAAAAACTAGGCCCAAATATGACTCAGAGCTGTTACAGTGCAGCATTGGAGCAAATGCTTAGCACAGATGAGACCCTGGGCTCCATGCCCAGCACTGAAGAACATCCCAAAATGGCTCGATACCAGCAGTGAATGCAGATTATTGCTATGGTCTTCTCAGAGCTGCGTGGTGGCCTGTTTGTGCTGCATCTGTCCCTGCAGCATCTAGTGCTTAGCAGGGATGATAGCAGTCAGCAGCTACACACTCAGCCCATGCCACTGTCTTTCTGAGCCTGTAACACCCCTCAGTTTGTTTAGTCCCTGAGGCCCAGGGACCGTGAGGAACTTATCTGAGCTGTCACAGCTGTCAGGTGGCACGAAGCTAGAGGGAGAGGGAACACTTGCTCCAGGTCTGCGGATGGCTTTGGTGTTTTTTTTTCCCTGCTGATCCTTTTGAGATGTACTCACATGCACTAACATGCACAGATCCCAGTGTCCATGGCAAAGTCCACCTCTGACAAGATGTAGAGTGTATCTGTCACCCCTTCCAGTGGTCCCCAGCCACTTTGATTTCCCTCCCATATTGATTAATTCTCGTGTGGCACATCTTGTCCTGGAAGAAGTTGGTGGCCCTAAGCAGTGCTGAGAACATGTGTAGCTTCCCAGCCCTCCCCACCGTTTTCCTGAGGAGCACACAGAACCTGGGAATGGTTGAGCCCAGGCACATAAGGTCAGAGTGCATGTGTGAGGACACTGTCTCTACCAGCTGGGGATCGTTCAGGCTTAGGAGAGCCTTGTAGCCTGGTGCCACCACCTCGTAGAGATGTAGGTTGGTCAGGCTACAGTGGTGCAAAGGAAGGAGCAGGAAGGCTGGAGTGCAGAGGGCCACTGCCAGCACTTGGACCCCGTGGGGACACCCAGCATCCCACCAGGTCATCGCTGCTGGTGAACCCCCGTAACTGTTCCCCTTTCAGTTTTCTGGGGTTTTGTTTTGTTTTGTTTTTGTCTTTTTGAGACAAGGTCTCAACATGCAGTTCAGGATGGCCTTGAGCTCACTTTGTAGCCCAGGCTGGTCTTAAACTTGCAATGATCCTCCTGCCTTAGCCTCCTGAGTGCTGGGATTACAGGTATGCACCACCACACCCAGCTCCCCCTTTCAGTTTTGGAGTACTGCTTCCTACTCTGCTGGGTTCCTTCCTTTGTAGAATACAGTGTGCATTCACATGTCTATGGTGTAATCTCAGTGCAACCATGGAGCTTTTCGTAATCAAAGCCTGGCTAAGAGGTTGAACTTTGTCCGAAAGACACACTTCTTCACACGCAGTGACTGAGCGATCTGAGCTCAAGAAAACAGTGGCTTTCTACAGGCTCAGTTATAGCCCTGAGAAAGGCAGGTTCAAGTCAGAATCTCAGCATGGACCCTCACTGGAATTGGATTGCTGCATATGTAATTAGTTCAGATGAAGTCACAGTCAGGACATGGTGGTGCACACCTATAATCCCAGCACTTGAGAGGCTGAGGCAGGAAGATTGCAAATTCAAGCCCACCGTAGACTACCTAGGGAATACAAGGCCAGACTGGACCACAGAGCAAGAGCCTCAAAAAACACAAAACAAAGAAAAAGAAAAAGGGTGAAGTCCAATGTTTGAGCTCCAATGTGTGCAGTAGGACCAGCCCTAATCCAGAACCGGTCGTCCTAATGAGAGGTAAGGACACAGACAGACAGCATGTGATGGCAGACAGAGATTAGCAACAGTCACAAGCTGCAGATGCTGAGGGTATCCCAGCCACCAGAGGCTGTGAGAGGCCTGGAGCAGATCCTACCGAGAGCCTCTGGGCAGAGAATGGCTTGCCCAATACCCTGATTTCAGGAGAGGATAAATTCCTGTTGACTTAAGCTGCCCAGTGTGTGGTAATTTGTTCTGGGACTGACAGGAACCTCACTCGGATGCCATCTGCCAGAAGTTGGCCTGGGCCTGGTCTCATTGCGGGACACAGTTTGAGATTAAGGCCCAGCAGCTCCCCTTGCATGACACTGTATCAGGACAGTGTTTGAGGGCCCCTTTGTTTTCTCAAAAGTCAGATGTCTGCCCCTTTTTGGAAAGCCTAGGGCACTAGAGTCCTTTGGGGACCTTTCTGGGCGACGCCTGGCCTGCCTTCCCCTCCTTCTGGGCTGTTGGCTGGCACTCAGGGAAGTCAGGTCCAGGCATGAGCCAGAGTCAGCTGTGAAGTGGACTTAGCCAGGCACTCTGATGCCACTGACCCCAGCTGGGTTGTGCTAAGCATGCAGGTGGTCCAGGCATCCTGGGTGGGGGACATCCCTGCAGGGCCTGGAGCTCAGCCTGTGACCCATGCTGCAGGCTGCTGAGGCCTCACCAGCTGAGTGCAAAGAGGCGTCCAGCCTGCCAAGAGTATACACTTGCCGCTGAGCAGATGTTCAGGTGCTGCACAGTGAACAGGGCCAGTCTTGGGGCATCTGTGCTCCTCCCATGCACTGCATAGTGCCAAGGAGCTGAGGGAAACTCGTTTGCAGAAAACTGAGTCATCAGAATCCGGAGCATCAGAGGCAAGGGGGTGAAGCTCAAGGAGCTAGGGGCCAGCAGGCCGCACATCCAGAGTCAGCATGGCTCTGGGAAAGCACCAATGAGCTGGGGCAGAAGATAGCCCTATGCTGGGCGTGAAAGTAACAGGGCTGCTGCAGTAGTGTCCAAGGCAAACCCAGGCCAGGCCAGGCCAGCTCAGGGTGATCTCAGGCCCCACAGCCCCCACAGTCACTGTGAAGGGAGCGGGGCCTACTCGCAACATTGTGCCCAGGGTTCTTAGCGAGTACGTAGAACAGCGAGACATGGAGAGTGGGTCCTGGGGCTGACGGGGAGCTTGACTGGCGGGTTACGTTTCACTTGAGGAATTTTTTTTTTCCCATTTAAAATTTGTCCTTTTCTAAATAAATTTTATTTTTGAGATGAGATCTTACTCTGTTGCCCAGGGTGATCCTGTACTTTCGAGCTTATGTGATCCCCCATCCCCCACCTAGGCTTCCTGTCACTTTTTTCCTGAGGTGTTAGAGATTGAACCTGGGCCTTGTGCATGCTAGGCAAGCACTGTTACTGAGCTACACCTCCAGCCCCTTTTGTAGTAAGTTCTACCATAACTGTCCCATGTGTGTAAATTGAGAAACAATCTGAATGGGTGTGTATGTCATCATGAGGCCATGCCACAACTTACCTAGTCATTCTCTTCCTAGGCCATTGGGTTGCTCACAAGTACTGTCATAACACATTCTATTCGCATATGCTCAGCCTTTTCAGTAGGATCCCTAGTCTCTTTCGAGCCCTAGGTGCGTGGCCCTGCCAAGGACTGAGGAGGAACCGGGACGGGTCAGACTCAGCAGTCTGGACGGGCTCAGGCCCTCCCGTGAGCTGGAGGACAGGGCTGTGAATGGCCTTGTGCCTGTGTGGGACAGGGTGCAAACTGCTCCTTCTACACAAGAGTGGCTGGGCTCATCCAGAGCTGAGACCATAGAGCAGAAAGGGTGTATCACTTGCTCAATCTAGTTCTCAGAGGGAAAGGCTATGGCAGTGATTCCCTCTTGGTCAGAGCAGAGGGCTCTCTGGCCCTCACTAGTGAGGGACACTGCCAAGGACAGTACTGTCAGGGTAGTGGGCTGGACTACACCTGCATCTCCTGACTGCTTGCTATGCACATTGGCTGTGTCTGTCCTCAGCTCGGTAAACACGCTCTTAGAGTTTTTGCATCACTATTGCCTCACAGAAGTTTGACTTTGATATGCTCCTTGGTGTTTTCTTTGTGTTTATCTTGCTTAGTATTCACTGAAGCCCTTAGACCTGTGGTTTTATGATTTTCATCAGACTTGGAGCACTTGGCTGTGTTGCAGAATACCTTTTCTGTTTTTTGGGTTTTTGTTTTGTTTTTTGAGACAGGGTCTTGTTTTGTAGTGCAGGCTGGCCTCGATCTCAGTGACCCTCCTGCCTCAGCCTTCCAAGTGCTAGGATTACAGGCGTGCACCACCATGCCAGCTTAGAATACCTTTTTAGGCCCCTGTTGTTGTTCTGTGTGCCTGTTGCCCCACCCCAGACCACCTCATGTTGTCCCATAGCCTCTGGAGTTCTGCTCACCTTCATTTTTCAGACCCTTCTCTCCACCTGTGCTCTAGTGCTGTGTTTGTGGTCACTGCTCTTCTATGCTTTCTGATCTGCCCTTGGGCCCATTCTAGCTAGTAAATTTTTATGGTGCTAAAATGTGTGTAAAATTTGCCATCTTCACCCTTTTTCAGCATGTAGTTCAGTGGTAGAAGCACATACACACAGTCTATACCCAGAACTTCCCTGTCTCCCCAACTGAGCCTCTGTTCCCTTTCAATGCTGAGTCCCTTCCCTCTGCCCCTGGAAAGTACGTGCGTGTGTGTGCGCGCGCGCGCACACACACACACACACACACATACACACACACATCCACTGCCTATCTCTAGTTTGGTCACTCCGGGGACCCTACACTGGTGTGCCTTCCAGCCACTGAGCTTAGGAGGACAGACAGGTGAGCAGGCAGGCTTGAGGGAGCGGGAGACCAAGCTAGCCTACAGCAAGAAACCTTCCATCTCTTTGTGGCCGTGACAGTTCTTTTCCACATGTGTTTGACAGATATCCCTAAAGCAGCACAGAGAAGAAATAAGTAAAGATTTTCCATCTAGGGAGATCCAGCGGCTGCAAGAGCAGAACACAAGCTTGCGGAATGCTGTCGCACAGATGAGGCGGGAAATGGAAATGCTGAGCGACCGGATGCCTCCTCCTGCGCAGTTAGCAAGGGACAGTGACGGGCCTGATCCAGGAGCCGGAGGAGACGCGGCCCCTCGTGAGTGGGAGAGCCGAGCGATGGTGGCTGTATGGTCAGGCAGGCCCTGCTGTCAGTCTCTCGAGTGAACACCGCATTTAGAAAATCACTTCCAAGTATGACACTGCTTTTCCTCCAAGAGAATCCTGAGTTTCATGCTGAAAGGGAAGAAGGGCAGGGCTTGTACCAGGCACACTGGGCCCAGGCCGACCAGGAGGGCAGGGTGACGCTGCCTGGCCAGGGTACTGGGCCAGGACTTTGGGGAGGAGCACCCTGTGGGAGGGCTGAGATGTAAAGTGTGCAGGGAGGTGGGTGAAAAGTTCGGTGTTTTTGGCAGATTATGTTCTGGCCCTTGAAGCCGAAGTGCAAGACCTAAAGCACAAACTGAAAGGCCTGGAAGAGCAGCTGGGAGGCATGTGGGAGCCTGCGAGGATACCTTCGGGCCCCGATGACCCTCACCCCAGGGTCCGCTTCTCTGCAGAGGCTGCTGGTGAGGACCAGGCTCTGTCCCAGTACACTGTCTCTTTGAAAGCAGAAATGTGGCCTATTTATGCTTCCCTAGAGTCAGCCGCCACCCAGCTTCTCAACCCCCATGGGAATGGAAGTGCGGCTTCCGCTGACTCACACTTTTGTTGTGGTGCGAGCCTGCCTTCCATCAGCAGTTGGTAACACTGCCCCTTACATGCCTGGTGGTCCTCTCGTAGCTCTAATTTACACCTCCTTGTACCTGAGTGAGATCCAACTGCTCTCTATCTGCTCAGCGGGCGTGGCAAGATCTCAGGCTGAGACTCAGGCCCCTTCTGTGCTCCCTGAGTTCAGATCTCTGGGACCTGCCATACTGGCTGTGAGTGGTGTCACATGCAGGTGCCACAGGGGCTCCCTACAGACTCCGGCTGTCCCGTGAGGGTCCCTGCGTGCTCTTCCCAGAGGGGTGCTACCCTGGGCATAGAGCAGACATGCGTAGTGGGTAAGAGCCCTGGAGGGAGGGCAGCCATCTTTCCCTGGTCTGTGGTGAAGACCACAGAAGAGCAGATTTTCTGGTATTTTCTCAAAACTCACTGGTGTTTCTGGGGTGCTGCCTCCTTTGAAAGGGGCTGGGGATTTAGCTCAGCAGCACAGCACCTGCCTAGCAAGCGCAAGGTCATGAGTTCAATTCCTAGTACCGGGGGAAAAAAAAATGAAAGCATCTGAGCCAGAAGGTACAGGAAGTAAGAAGGGACAGGAAGCTCACGCTGGGCTGTGCCCTAGAACCCATGGTCCCTGATGTCAGGGCTGTCATTTTCTCACCTCCCAGATTCTTCCCACAGTGGCTGCTTTTGAGGACAAGTATCTAGTTGTGACTGGTGAGAGGGGCAGGATGCATGCACTTGGTCTGTCTTGCAGCTTTGACCTTGCAGTTCCAGAGTGAAGAGTCATGCTGTGTGCACTCTTCCTCTTCTGCATCGCTAGATTTCATTTGTTGATGCTTTATTGAGAATTTCTACATTTACTGGGCTAGGGATATAGCTCAGTGGCATAAGTGCTTGCCTGGCAAGCCTAAGATCATGAGTTCAATTCCTGGTACCAAAAAAATGTATATTTAAGAAAAAAAAAATAGTATAGTTCTTTGAAACTACCTGAGGCTGGAGTTTTCCTGGTGAGAAGGTTTTAAACTGTGAATGCAGTTTTGTTCATAGTTAAAGGACTTCCAGATTTTTCTGTGTCTCTGTGCCTCCTCCCACCCTACCTCACCCTTTTTCTTGAGATGGGGTCTCACTATGTAGCCAGGGTAGTCTCAAACTTGCAGTGATCTTCCTACCTCAGCCTCCCAAGTGCTAGGATTATAGGAATGCACCACAACACCTATTTTGGGACATAATTTTAGGTGTTGTATTATGCTAAGTAATTGTCCATTTCATCTAGATTTTTAAACTTCTGGCATGAAGTTGTTTATACTATTCTAGGAGCTTTCTAAATGTCCACTGGACCTTTCCCACACATTAGGTTGGTCCTTTGCTTCTGTTCTCCTTCATTCTTTCTTGCTTAGTCTCGCAAGAAATTTATTTATTTTTTAGCTGTTTTAAAGACTCAACTTGGTTTTCTTGATCATCTATTATATTTTCTGTTTCCTGAATATCTCACTTTATTCTCTTTCTTCAATTTTATTTGCTTATCTTTCTTTCTAATTTGTTGAGATGAATGTTTAGCTAATGGATTTTCAGCCTTTCTGTTTCTCTAAAATGTGAACTCAAAGCTATAAATGTTCTCAAAAGGACAGCTTAACATGAATGGATAAATATTTTTCTTACTATTACTCTGTTCACAATAACTTATAATGTCCATTATCATTTTTTCTTTAACCCGTGAGTTATATGGGTATCTTTTTTCTTACTTCAAACAAATGGCCGCATGTGTAAGTGGAGAGATTCCATCAGAGACTGTGTGTCAGGTTGGATTTTGTCCTGCTCTCCTTGTGCAGGATTACATTTCATGTACAGTACATTTTTGATTGTCATAAGGAACTGACCTCTTCAGCCCAGGGAGTGACACCTGCTCCTTGAGACAGCCAGTGGCCCCTGTGGGCCTCTTGGGGGATATTTCTAGTTTCCAAGATCTGAGCCTGACTGATGTCTTCTCTGCAGGAGACTCTGTCTGTGCTGGCCAAGCATCCACTGGACTGGTGCTAAGGAAGCTCGAAGATAGAGTGCATCTCTTGAACTTGCTGGTAATGCAGCTCAAAAAGAAGGTGAGGTTGGCCTATTGACACTCGCTCAGGGTTTCTGGGTCTTCTGGGAGTGGGCATGTGGGCAGGCTCAAAGAGATTCCAGATGTGATCCCATTGACCTTGGATGCTGCCTTAGTTACTTTTCTCATTGCTGAGACACAATACCTGACACCCACAAGTTAAAGGAATAAAGGTGTTATGGTTTATGTCTGTATGTCCCCCCAAAACCTCATGTGGCCATGGGGCAGGCTTTTAGAGTTTGATTATGGGTGTGAGAGCCGCACTCGCCCTGGGGAGGATAGTTTGCATATGTAAGGGAGAGGAAAAGAGTGCTTGAGGCCATTCCTCCCCAATTCCTCGCTGGTGTGTGCTTGTTGCTTTTGCTGTTGTCTGCTGCCATGAGCTGTAGCTCTCTGCCATGTGCCAGTCTGCCTTGTAATCTGCCAAGTACGGACTGAAACCTCCACAAACTATAAGCGAAATAAATCTTTCCTTCCTTAATTTTGGGCGTCAGGTATTTTGTCCCAGCAACAAGAGAAAAGTAACCAAGACAAAAGGTTTATTTTGGCTCACAGATTATAGAGGTTTCACTCCATAGTCAGCTGGCTCCAAGGCAGAGTGGCACGTAGCAGACAGGCATTGCAGAGGAGAAACAGTCCATGGCAGGACAGTCAGGAGGCAGCAGTGGTGGTGGTGGTGGCAGCAGCAGCAAGGCTCCTTTTCCCTTTTATCCCATCCAGGCTACAAGCCTTTGGGTGGTGTTATCCACACCCAGGCTGGGGCTTCCATTATCTATAACCAGATCTATACCAAACCAATCTAGTTATCACACACTCTTAATCCCAGTATCACACACCCATGATCCAGCCACCTGCCAGAAACCCCATCTGTGAGCCCGTGTGGCTTTGGAGGAACATGTAGATACAACCATGACAGATGCCCACTGGGCCTTTCCTTGCCTGAGTGAATGAATACTGTGAGCAGCCACTGGATCATCTTGTGTATGACTGCAGCAAGTGCATGGGGAGAGCCTGGTAAACAAAGAAGAGGTCTCCATAGAAGACAGTGTCAAGGCCAAGCATGCAGAGCCCAGGGGAGATGAAGTCTTACTATGTCTGGTGTTAACTTAGCAGGCGTTTTCAAGGTTCAACTGTGTTATAGCATGTGTCACTGCGAGGCTGGTCTCCATTCTGTTAGCTGCTCCTCCGTAGTAGAGACTTGAACTGCCCCTGCCTGTTCCTGGTTGTGAGTGTGCTGCTGGGAGCATTCCTGCGGTTCACTTTGCAGGTAGATGCCTGAAAGCAACATTGCTGAGTCACATAGAAAGTCTCTAACTCTTTCTGGAGCAACCAGACTGCTTTCCAGAGCAGTGGCACCAGGTCACATGCCCACCAACAGTGTAGAGGCTCTGTTCACATCCTCCCCAACATCACTGTTCCTGGCTTTTTATTCGACCTCTCTCATACCCATGAGAGAGGCATCAAGTGGCATCTCCCTGTGATCCTGACCAGTGTTTTCATGGTGACATATGATGCTGAGCACTTTCCATGGCTGCTTGGCCGTTTGTACACCTCCTTTTGAGAAGTGCCCATCTAGATCTTTTGCCTATTTGTTTGATTGTTTTGGTTTTTTGAGACAGGGTCTCTATGTAATTCAGGGTGGGCTTGAACTCGCTTTGTATACCAGGCTGGCTTCAAACTTGTGGTGATCCCCCAGCCTCAGCCTCCCAAGTGCTGAGACCACAGGTGTGCTCGACCATGCATGGTCCTTTGCCTATTTTTAGTTGGATTATGTGTCATTTTTGTTGGATATAAAAGTTCTTTTTGCCAAGGATATAGCTCAGTGGCACAAGTGCCTGCCTGGCAAGCACAAGGTCCTGAGTTTGAGTCCCGGTACTAAAAAAAGTTCTTTTTATATTCCACATACAAGTCCCTCATCAGATGTATGATTTGCTAAATTTCTTTTCCACCTCAGTGCTTGTCTCTTTTCTTCCTCAATGGTGTCCTTCAAAGCACACTTTTAATTTTGACCAAGTCCAGTTTACCTACTTTTTTGTTGCTTGTGGTTTGAGATCACACTGTCCTGTCACCTTTTGTACACACATTTCTTATGAGGTGGCCTGCAGAGGAATTCTCATAAGTCCTTTTGAGTCCACAAACACATAAATTACATCTTCCCCGGAGACTCTCTTCTCCTAAGCAGAGACTCTGGAGTTCCCATCCCCCACAGGGAGTGAGCCATGCTCCAGAAACTGGGCGCTTTACTTTTTTTAATCTTCCAGGAGATTTTGTTTGTTTGTTTGTAGTTAAATTGCAAATAATAGTTGTATACATTTATGTTGTGTATTGGGATTTTCTTTTTCAAGGTAATGGGGATTCAATCTACTGAGCTACATCCCTAGCCTTTTTTATTTATTTTTTTTTTTTAAGACAGGTTAAAATGGCCAGGCTGGCCTCAGACTTGAGATCTCCCAACCTTAGCCTCCAGGAATACTGGGGTTACAGTCACACACACCACACCAGGCTACAATGTCTTAAAATATTTGCACACTGTGGCTAAGGGGGCTAGTAGCCGATGCATGGCCTCACCCCTTTGTTGTTTCTTCATGATGTCTTGCTCCCTCTATTGACTGGAAGCACATCTTCATCGTTGCAATAGACATGAACTTGACCACTTTTCCATTTCTATTCAAGGAATTGCAGTTCTACATACATAGCCAGGTTCTTATGGGACATCAGTAAGTTAGACCATGTGTTGGACCATAAAGCAGGTCTCAGTGAATTTAAAAGGATTCAGATCACACAGAAAATGTTTCCTAGCCAGATGTAGTGATGTACACCTGTAATCCCAGCACTCAGGAGGCTAAGGCAGGAGGATCCCCTCAAGTTTGAGGCCAGCCTAAGCTACATACATAGTGAGTTTAAGGCCAGCCTGAACTATATAACAAGATGTACCTTAAAAAAAAAAAAGTTTCCTGACCTCAGAAGTTAATTGGAAATCAACAATAAAAATATCCAGAAAAATCTCCAAATATTTTCAAAATAGTATATGTCCAAGTAAACCCTGAGCCAGGCGTGGTGACACACATCTCTGCCTATTTTTTGAGGTCAGCCTGAACTACCTAGTGAGACCCTATCTAAAAAAAAATCCAAAAACAATCCCTGGGTCAAGCTGGGCATCTGTAATCTTAGTATTCTGGAAGGCTGAGGCAGGAAGATCACAAGTTTGAGCCTGTCCTGCAAAATTTAGTGAGACCCTGCCTCAAAATATAAAATGAGAACTGGAGGTATAGCTCAAGATTCAATCCTCAGTACCTCAAAAATAAATAATCCTTAAATCAAAGAAATCCCAAAGCAATGCCAGCCATGGTGGTGCATTCCTGTAATTCCAACACTCAGGAGGCTGAGGAAGGAGGATCACTGCAAATTCTACCATCCTAGGCTACATAGTGAGTTCAAGGCCAGCCTAAACTGTATAGTGAGACCATGTCTCAAAAAAAAAAACAAAAAGAAAGAAAAAAAGGAAGGAAGAAATCCCAAAACAGTGTTTAGAAATGTATGCTTTTAATGCTTATGTTAAGTCAGGCATGGTGGCACACACTCAACACTTGGAAGGCTGAGGCAGAAGGATCACAAGTTCTAGGCCAGCCTTTGTAACAGAGTAAATTTGAGGTCAGCCTGAACTACATAGTGAGACCCTGTCTCAAAAAAGTTCTATGGTACATACCTGTAATGCCAGCACTTGGGAGGCTGAGGCAGGAGGATCACTGTGAGTTCGAGGCCAGCCTGGACTACATAGTGAGTTCAAGACCAGCCTGAAATGAAATACATAAGGAGATCTTGTCTCAAAAAAAAAAGTTTTTTTTTTTAAGAAGAAGGAAAAAAAGTTCCTGGTTCTAACCTACCTGGTTAGAATTTTACACACAAATGCTATAGACAAAAAATATACATTTTGGTAAAAGTTCATAATTTTACCCCTATAGTCAGAGGCAATCCTGGGTAAGACATTACCTTGGAGTGTTTTTGTTTCCTTTTCTACGTAATGGTTCTACTTACCAAATGTTCAGCTCTGTTAGATGTCTATGACAAACTCAAAACAAAATTAGGAATTGGCTGTAGGCCTCTGTGCAGTAGGAGAAGGTGCACAACCCAAAAGCTCAAAGTGTAGAGAGAACTGTGTATCTTTCCTTCCCACCTAGGCTGGCCAGAGGCTACCCGGGGAGTGGCAAGGCCAGGCCAGGGTCAAGGGTGGGAAACACAGCTGTGCTGCTGCCGCCTCTGGAAGGTTCCTATTGGGCCTCTGTCCTCTCTGCCTCTTGTACACTCTGGGTCATCACAGCCTTTGATCCCCTTCCCTCTTAACACCTCCTATCTCTGCTTCTTGCTGGAAAGGGAAGACCCACTCCCCACCCCTACCCCCACCCCCGTGTCTCAGGGGCTTGTTGTGTTTTGTTTTTGTGATGCTGGGCATTGAACCCAGGGCCTCAGTGGTAGGCAAGTGCTCCACCATTGAGCTCCATCTCCAGACCTGTGCTTGTTTGTTTGGTACTGGGGGAGTTGCACCTGGGGCATTTGCAGAGCTACATCCCTAGCCCTAGTGAGACAGTCTCACTAAATTGCTAAGTTTCCCAGGCCAAGCTCAAACTTGCAGTCCTCCTGCCTCAGCCTCCAAGCAGCTGGCCTGAGAGGCACATGCCCCGTACACCTGGCTTCCTTGCTGTTTCCTGGTGGCCTTGTTTCTCCCAGCACCAGGGCCTCTGAGAAGGGCTGTTGTGCACTGCTGCGTATGCACTTTCCCCTTCCAGTCTTGGGGCCCAGCACATGGGCAGTGCACACTTGGAGCATTCAGGGCTTGTGTGCAGATCATGTTTGGTCAGCGGGGGGACACTGGCCATGGATCTCTGCTGCACACCATGCTTCCTTCCCTGCCCCAGGCCCTGGTATCCTTCTGCCTCACCCCTAACTGCCTTTCAAATTGCCTCCCAGGTGAAGCAGCAGCCCCTGGAGCTGGACACTGTGCAGCAGGAGCTTCCCAAGGAGGTACACCAGGTGCACCTGGAGGTCCTGGAGCTGCGGAAGCAGGTGGCTGAGCTGGGGAAGCATCTTGGGACAGCCCGGCAAGACCAAGGGGAGCCTTCAGACAGGAAGTCACTCAGAAAAGAGGTGGGAACCTCGCAGTTGGCTGGCACTGCTGGTTCCTTGCCAAGTTGCCAGTCATTGTGGGCTGCAGAGAGGGTTGTCCCCAGAGGTTAGCCCCTGCTTCTGTTCTCTGTGAGCATCTCCTGCTTTAGGTCTTTCCTGAAGAGCTGCCTCCAGCCTGGTCTTCAGGTGAAGCCCCTTTCAGGGGAAATCCACCGTGCAGGCTGTTGTGCCGTTCACGGCCCAACTGCGTGCTGTTGGCCCAACTGCATGCTGTTGCAGGCGGCCCTGCCTGTGGAATGAGGGCACCCACTGTAGACTCGCGAGCCCAACATGGGCTCCTATCCTGGTCTCCAGCAGCCTCAGCACTTCCTGTTGCCCAGCCTATACCTGGATCTAAACAGGCCTCTCAGCAGGTCTTTCCCTCTACCCAAGCCCACTACTGTCCAGAGGCCCTGCCAGCCACCTGCAGTGCTGACCTGTGGTGACTCAACTGACATGGGATTATGGTGCTGACCTGCAGTGACCCATGGTGACTTACGGTGACCTTTGGTTACCTGTGTTGAGCTACAGTGACTTGTGTGGCCAATGGTTTTAGGAACAAAGAACAGTGCCTGTAAGCACTCAGAGTCCTCTGGCAGGAACTGTCAGAGGCCAAAGACAGTGTTCGTGTCCCTGGGGCACCCGGCTTCTGGAGCAGGTACCCAGGCACACCAGGGGGATGTAGCCCAGGAGCTGCCTAGGAACAGTGGCAGATGAAACAGGCAGGGTAGAGGGGCGGAGAGGTCTGAGACCCAGCTGGTGCTCAGCCATCAGGTACCAGAAGGGCCAAGCTGGCCACTAATGTAGCACTGAGCTGTGTCTGACTGCTGGGCCAGCGCCTAGCTCTCTCTGGACTCTACAGTCCAGTCCCCCCGTTCACTCCTGGCCTGCAGGACATGTGGGACTGCAGAACTGGCCCACGGGGTGGCAGCTATGTCTCTGTCCAGCTTCCTGCACATACAGGTGCAGCTCTTGCCAGATAGGATGGGACAGCCCTACCTGTATTCCTCTTCTCATGTGTGCATAGTGGAGGGGCCAGACTTTGTGCAGATAAACAGGATCTAATCCTGAGCTGCTGAGTCTGAAGTGGCATCAGGCCCTGCCTGGTCCTTCATGGCATAGACAAGTGGGCAGGCAGCTGGGCCTCAGCATCCTCTGTGTCAGGCCCAATGCCATGTCTCTCCTGCTCTTTTGTATCTGAATATCCCTGACTGTAGTGAGGTGTGAGGTCATTCTCAGGGTGAAAGATGGGAAGCTCAGGGAGACCCCTGCCTGGGTCAAGTGCTAGGTCCCAGGTTTCTCACCACCAGGAGAAGGGAGAAGGAAGACCAAAAAGACAGGGCTCTTGGGCTGCAAGTGGTGTCAGCATCATCTATGCCAGTGATGTCCACAGCTATCATTTCAGATACACAGGGAAAGAGAGGGAGACACGCATGCACACATTCCCAGTTCTGTCCTTGGAGGGTCCAGAAACAGGGACTCTGGCAGCCACAAGCACCTGTGCCCTGAGGCTGTTCTGGATTTCCTGCTCTGCGCCTGGGACCGGGGCTCCATGGACAGTGCCAATCCAGTGTAGGGCACATTAGGAGGAGCCACAAGACACTCTGCTGACCAGATCCAGGCCAATGGGTATTGCTGGGGAAGATTGCAATGCACTGGAAACAGGAAATTACAAGTTCACATTGGGACAGATAAGCAGACACATCAGAAGATCAACCAGCAGCCCTCAGGGATGATGCAACCAGCTGGGCAGGTGGGGTGAGTGTAGGCTAGAGGTAGAGAGCTTTCCTGGTCTCCAGTTGGTGTCCCCCACAGATCTCTCAGTTCCCAAGAAGAATGAAGCATGAGCTTGACCACACTTCCCAGCGTCAGGACATTCCATTGTCTCATCCCCCCAGTAGAAAGCACCGCTGACTCGTTTCTGGGCTCCCACCAAAAACAGAGCCTGGGGCTGGCCTTAGATAGGCCCAGTGGAGAGATGTGACATTCCTGGACTCCGGGGCATCAGCAGCACAAAGCAGACAGACACTGGGGAGCTAGAGAGTGCAGCAGGTAAACACATGAATCTCAAGTCCTGCGCAGGACACCTAGGCTGGAACAGACACAGTCCAGACCTGAGTTAAAATTCAGTGTGGCCTGGGACCAGGCTATGTATCCATATAACCCATGTTAGAAGCACAGACTAAGTATCTGAGTATAAAGCAGCAGTGCGTCTCCTGTTTATTCTTAGACACTTCTAGAGGAATTTTGCATCAGGGGTGGCAGTGCTGAGAGGGTGGACATCTTCAGACTGGGAGTCTAGGGAAGCTCATGCTCCCCTTTCAGGCTCTCTGTCAAAGCCTGGCCCCTCCCCCTGTCCAGCCAGCCATGCTTCTCTGCACTGCCCCACAGGCCCCTGTGCAGGACGGGTAGCTGGGTGGGGTATCCTGCTCCCCTAGCCGTACTACCAACATCTCCTTGCTTCTGGCCTCGGGCCTTTCTGCCCTCTGCCTGGTCTCGCCAGCATTGGGTGGAGGGTTCCCTCATCAGTGAGGGGCACAGTACTGTCCTGGCTGCTAAGCAGCCTCTGCCTCCCGTGGACCCGCTGGCTCTCACCACAGCCTCCCGTGGATAGCATTCCTCCTGATTTCTTGCTGTCCAGGTTCCCTCCCTCACCCCACTACTGGCATCTGCACCCTGGCAGCAGAGGTGGGATCATCCCAGCCCTGGGCCCTTCACAGGGATGGATGGCTGCTGTGTCCGCTCAGACAGCCTGTGGTTCAGAAGATGTCTCTGAATATATCTCCAGTTGTGCCCTCTTTATTTGGAGGAAAGACTTGAGATTCATCAAAATAAACTTTTAACGAACACCACTGTACCAGGAACCCAGTCCTCAGAGGGTCACTCCCTGACCTGGGTCATGTGTGCACAGTGGGGGCCACACCTCCTCCTGTGCCTTCTCAACCAAGGACAGGAAGGCCTCAGGCTCCTCCAAGCTGGGTATCCTGCCAGGGCCACTGCTGTGGTGAGGGTTGTTTGGAGGGTAGGTTTCCCTTAGAACAGGGGTAGGAACCTATGGCATGTGTGCTGGGGCAGGCTGTTACCACTGAAAGCTCTAAAAGGTTCACCATCCCTGCAGAATCTCCAGGCATCTGAGGTTTGGCAATTCCCTTGCAAGCCTGTTCTGTCCTTACCTCCAGCACCTTGAGAAGCACCGAGTCCTGCAGTCTCCGGTCGGCCCTGAGGGTGTAGGGAGGCTCAGGCCACCCTCCTCCAGGTGTGCCTGCCTCTCTCAGGCCCTCACCCTGAGTCCTTTGTCTTCTGAAGACCACACCTACAGAGAGGGCAGAGGCACTAAGGACAGACACTGGGAATGTATTAAGTTTGGGGCACCCAGGCCTGCCTGAGACTTCCATGGGGCCAGCGGCACCTGCCCTAGCCTGCTCCTGCTACACATGAGAGGAGGGGGGCCGCCTGCTGTGTCATCCCACGCTCCTCCATCCCCCAGAGCCATAGCACATTGCCTGAGGCACTGGCATGCAGTCATCCAGCTCCCAACACCACCTGGGGACAGATCCCCGCCAGAGGCAAGGGCCCCTGCCAGCCCCAAGAGGACTCCAGGCAGCTGGCCAGGACAGGATGTGCAGTTCTGTTCCAGTTGCTCTCACTCAAGCCTGAGGTGGGGGCAGCCTGACTTCTCACAGGTGCCGGGGGCCTGGGTGTCACTAGTCCCTCAGCGCCCCTGTTACTGTCCCAAACATCTTGTGTGCGACTATGCGTCTGCATCGCTGTGTGTACAGTCCAGGTGGGGCTGAGCCAGGACCATATAGGGTCCTCTGCCTTTGCCTTTCCCTGCAATTTCTCAGGGCTGCAGGCTGTGGGAAGCTACAGCTGCCATGGAGGGGGAGGGGCACTCGGTGGCTGAGAGAGCCAGTGGGTGGCCTCGAGGGTGGGCATCATGGGGACCACAGTGCGGGGGTTTGGGGGTGTCTTCTGCTCCTGGAACAGGGCCCAGCTCAGGCCCAGGAGCAGCTGGGCCAGCTGATGTGAGAGGGTCTCATTGTCCTCTCTGGAAAGTCACAAAGACCCAGACTCCTCATGTCGCAGGGTAAGTTGGTTGCCAGTACCCATGACCAAGGGAGAGGACTGAGGAACCAATTTAGGCTGTGGCCCTACAACTGGGAGGCCAGTGCACCCCCTGCTGCACATCATGGGAAAGGAGAGGCCCACCCAAACGTCTATGCTCTCCCACCCTGACACCAGAGCACGGAGACAGTCACCATTGTGTCTTCCCTGTGGAGGACTTCTGGGGCCGGAGTGATGTGACCCGGGGGGAACACCCTCTTTCCCACACAGGGCACATTGGTGGGGTCTCACAGGACTGTCTGCTGTGTGATTTTGTGTAGGGCCTCGCAGCGGGGGTGCCCGTGGGAACTGAGGACCAGGAGTCGCTCTCCAGGCACCCACAGCCCAGAGCACAGCCCCCACAATCTGCATCTGTGCCCCACCTGCAGCGGAAACTCAAGGAAGCCACCAGGAAGATCCTCAGCCTCCACCTGCAGAGGGAGCAGCTCATCGAGATGGGGAACCGGTTGCGTGCTGAGCTGGGCCACTCCAAAGGTGAGTGAGTCCCTTGGAATGGAACAGGATGAGACCACATGAGGCCGAGGGACATGTGCAGGAAGGAAGAAGAGTCTGGCGTGTGTGCTGTGTGCCTAGAGGCAGAAATCTGTTGCTAGTGCTTCAGGGAGAGGGCATGGCAGCTATGCACTAAAGCAGAGCCAGCCAGCCTCCACCCGAGGGTGGGCGCACTCCGTCCTGTTTCTGGGGCCACATCTATGAGAATGTGGTAGGGGTCAGCAGAGCAAAGCATTTCAGAGGGCTGCTCCCCAGTGCTCAGGCTGTGGCCTCCCAGATAGTGGTAGCTTTGTCTCCTGATGGAGGTGAACTCAGAGATTTCCTAAGAAAGGCAAGTGACAAGTACTTGAGCCCCAGGTTCCTGAAGAAAAGATGCTCATGTTCTGAGCCTACAAGACAGGCCACACCCAGCAATACCTAGGGCCCCCAGGGAGTAGCAGCACCCAGGCCTGATGGGCCAGGGGCAATACCAGAACCCCAGACCTGTGCACAGTCTCTCAAGCAGAGGCCTGCCCTGTGTGGCTCTTGTCCTTGTCCCAAGTGAACACTGGAGACACCAGAATCCATCTGGATTGGCAAGAGTGTTCACTCAGGTGCTAAAGTGCACACCTGTTCTCACTGCCACCTCCCTTTACCCAGACACCCTCTGTCTTTGCTTGCACTTCAGCAAGCTTCTGAGTTACAGGTGATGACCTCAGAGGCTGTGCTGTAGGGGCCCAGTCGGGCCTCCACTCCTGTCTGCTGAACACCAAGGAAGGCCATGGCTATGTAGACATGAGCCTGAGCCACTGTCTCTCAAGGTGGAGTCCTGTGCACCCCTGAAAAGCCAAGGGCCCTGCAGGGGCTCAGCATTGTTAGCACTTCTACCATGGACCATCAGAGCTTTTTGACAACAAAAGAAAGGGAAAGGTCAGGGCCCCGTGTGTCATTCCCTAGCTTCTGCCTCAGCAGCTGTGGCTTAACACTCTGACGTTTGTATCCTATGGCTTCTGAGGAAAGCTCCCAGTGGGGAAGGACACTGACCTTGGGCATGGGGCCCAAGTTTCAGAGTGCTGTGCTCCCTGGAAAGGGTGTGGGGCCCTGAGGAGACTGGGAACACAGCCTCATGGAACCCTAGCATGTGAATGGGTGCGGAGGTGAGCCACACCTCATCATAAAATTAACCCATTGTTCTGAGCAAGCACAGTCAGGGATATTTAGTGGCTTTCAGAACACAGCCCTGCAAGGAAAGGCTGCCAATGGCCCTTGGAGGCAGGTGTTCCTCAGTGTTGCCCAGGACTGCCCTGCCAGTTGGGCCCTGCCGCAGCTCAGTTCTGAGGACCAGTGAGTGGACACTGTTCCCATTTCTCTTTCTGATTCTCAGCCTACAGGAGAGGGGGCTGCTCCTCATTCCTGAGAGGCACCTCTGGCTGGACCTTGTGCATGTCTCCTAAGAAGCTGCAGCCTCTGCATGCTCACGTGCACGAGCGGTCTCTGGCACCTCACTGGTGGCAACCATGGTGACTTCAAAAATTATGACTCTGTTTCCTCTCCCTTAATTCTACCCTGTTCTGTCATCTAAACCAAAACACCCTTCCCTATCCTAACCTTGCTGCTCTTTGATCTTGGCCTTCATACCACACTCTGCCCACACCACCACATGTTTGCTCCAATGGTGACCGGGCCTCCCTTCCCTCTGACTTTTCTTTTCTTTTTTTTTTTTTTTTAATTTTAAAGAGAGTAGTAAATGAGAAACAAGTAAACAAAACAATAGAACAGTAGCAGCATATGAGTACCATGAACATAAACAAATCAGAGCAAGAACATTCAAAGTGATAGACAAAATAATACGAATCAATAGTGGTTGTTACATTACATATTGCTGTCCTCAACTACATTGCTCAGATTCCCATATGTAAGAATGAACGATTGCTCAAACCATTAAAGAGAATAAGAAAAATAATTCGTCGATAAAACATTAGAGATAATACAGAGTTTCACTAGACAAGATGGTAGGAGTTCACCATTGTAATTTCATTGCATATTGTTACCTTCAAATCAGTTGCTCAGACCACCAGACACAAGCATGCAAAGTCAATCAGAACATAAAAAATTGTAAGCATTAACTGTTCATTTCAATATACCATCAAACATCAGCAATACAGTTATCACAGCTATTCATATATATATATTTATATTTTGCCTTTCTTCTTTTGTCTTCTTTCCCTCATCCCAGTCATTCCTTCCTTTGAGCAATTTCTTTCCCTTTCATATCATCTATTGTATGTTTTGAGTTTTACCTAGTCTTTCAGGTAAAAATACAGAACGCTTCACGAATTTACGTGTCATCCTTGCGCAGGGGCCATGCTAATCTTCTCTGTATGGTTTCAATTTTAGTATATGTGCTGCCAAAGCGAGCACCTCCCTCTGACTTTTCATGCCGGTGAATTTGTCTTTTCTGCCTGGGCCAGCCTGGCTGTGTGGCCAGATGTTTCAGGGACTCACCCACCCACCCCTCACTCATCCATCTCCCCATCCACACATCCACCCACTGTGCGTCCATTCAGTCCTGGAGTCCCTCTGGGAGCAGATACACCCACCTTCCTCAGTTTCCATAGAGCAGTGGGTCCGCATTGGGTTAAACCCTGCTGCCCGTCTCCAGGCTGCTCAGAGCAGCTGAGAGCCCGGGATCCTGCTGGGTTCTAGGATCCAGAAAGCAGACTTAGCAGCCCTCTCTGAAGGCCAAAGAGACCTCAGCAACGAAATGAAACATTCTACAAACTGGCACTTTTAATTACCTTTGTTTCTTCTTTTGTCATTCATATTTTGGGCTGCCACCTTTTTCTGGCAGCCCAGGCCCATAGCACCTCCTTTGTGAGTATCGTTATGGCTCCTAGTTCACTGTACCTGCAGTCTCTGTGTCAGAGGCGGGGCTCTCAGAGGGCTCTGACTTCGTCAAGGGGTCAGTCCATTGACGCAGTCACAATTTGATGGCGTTATTGAGTGGTGAGGAAGCAGGAGGTGGGGTCTCATTGGAAGTAGGTCTTGGGGGCGTACCCTTGGGGACTGTATGTCATCCCTGGCCCCTTCCTCTCTGGCTCCCCAACCTCTCTGCTTCCTAGCTGCCACAAAGTGAGCAGCTTCCCTCTGCCGCACCCTTGCACCAGGCTATTTTTGCCTTGCCACAGGCCTAAAGTAATGGAGCCAGCTGCCTGTGGACTAAAACCCCTGAAACTGAGCCAAGATAAGTACCCTGCCCTTAGCCCTATGCTGGGGATTGAACCCAGGGCCTCATACTGAGCTACTTCTCTAGCTTTTTTTTTTGATGGGGGCGGGCAGAGTTGTTGGGTACTGGGAATTGAACTCAAGACTTGCCAGGTAGGGGCTTGTGCTGCTGAGCTATACCCTTGGCTTTCATTTTATTTTTTATTTTGAGAGTCTCACTGAGTTGCCTTGGCAGGGCTCAAACACCATTTTTCCTGCTGCAGCCACCCAGAGTGCTGGCATCAAACCCATTCCTTTCCTCTTTTAGGTTGTTTTTCTCAGGTATTTGTTCACAATACATGGTAAGGAAAATCTGCCAAACACCTCTTCATTTGAAAGGCTTTCGGCACTTTCACATTTGATGTTCGACTGAACTAGGATTGACCTCTAAGTGTGGTGACCAGAAGCAGCTCACACTGCTGCCTTTGGGCCCTGAGCACCTGCACTCAGGTCTCTTCCCCACCTGGACAAGACCAGGTGCCTGGATACTGCCCTCAGGGCAGACACCAGCAAATCCTGAGCATCTCTGAGGAAAGGGCATCAAAGATAAGAGGGGACAGACAGGAAAGTTCTTAGATACCTGACAAAGAGTTGCTGCCTTCCAAGGCAGCTGACCAGGGCTGGGCTGAGCAGGGAGAGGCCCTAGGAAATCTGTGGGCTGAGGGGGGGCCAGGAGTGCAAGGCTAAGTCCACAGCTGGGTTCTTTGGCTTCTTAGAAGTTTCAAAGTTGGGAAGGCGTGGTGGTGCAGGCCTGCAATCCCAGCCACTGGGAGACTGAGACAGGAGGATTGCTGTGAATTTGAGGCCAGCCTGGGCTACAGAACAAGAGCCTGTCTCCAAACAAACAAACAAACAAAAGGTAAAAATGTTTCACTGCTGTCAGTACTTCACATTTCTTTAAATTTTGGTGTTTCATTATCATATTATTCCCCTGCTGAACTGGTTCATCTAGAAATAACTTGGTATTTGTTTTGTTTTGTTTTGTTTTTCTGTCTTTTTGAGACAAGATCTCCCTATGCAGTTCAGGCTGGCCTTGAGCTCACTTTGTAGCCCAGGCTGGTCTCGAACCCTCAACAATTCTCCTGCCTCAGCCTCCTGGGTGCTGGGATTTCAGGTGTGCGCCACCATGCCCCGCTAGAAATAACTTGGTTTTTTTTAAAAAAAAAAGTATTTAAAAAAAAAAACTTATTAGGGATCTAGCTCAATTTTTTTCCCAGTGTTTAAATGGTTAGCCAGTTGTACTAATTCTGTTCATTGGATATGTGTATGTGAATGCTAAAATGTCTGTGTATATTTAATTTGTGAATTATAATGATACATACTATTATAATCCTCTTGTTAGTGTAGAAGTAACATTAGCATAAAATCAGCTTTATGAACTAGTTGAACAGAACTGTCCCCAGGTTTGCTCTTTGACCTTAGTAGCCTGCCACCACCACAGCATCCTCTCAGGGCTGGGACAGCAAGCTGCCAGCAAGAGGCTTTGTTCTAAAAGCAGCTCCTGCTTCCCTGAGGCAACTTGGAGGCCACAGCTTTCATCTAGGCCTCTGCCTCCCTCGGCAGAGAAGAGCCTGTAGGCAGAGAACTTGTCCTGCATCTTCCTGTGCCTGAGATGATTTTGTTTTGAGCACTGCCTAGAGAGCCGCCCAGCTGCATTTCTGCTATGGTGGCAGACATCTGCATTTTCTGACAGCTGCTCTGGAAGAAATTCCTAGCCCTGGGCATGGTCTGGCCCTGGCCTTGGTGGACAGTCTGCCCTCTGTGGCCACCTGCTCACCTTCTTTCTCCCTTGCCTGTATCCTGGGTCTGTGTAGCAGGGCCCTGCCCAGTCATGCAGGTCTGGTCTCAGGGCACTTGGGGGTGGGGAGCAGAAGGGATGTTAGTTTTTCCATTCTTGAAAAATGGAAGCTGGGTATGGTGGCACACACCTGTAATCCCAGCACTTAGGAGCTGAGGCAGGAGGATCTCCGTGTTTGAGGCCAGCCTGGACTGCATAGTGAGTTTAAGGCTAGCCTGCTCTACATAGTGAGACCCTGTCTCAAAGAAAGAAAGAAAGAAAGAAAGAAAGAAAGAAAGAAAGAAAGAAAGAAAGAAAGAAAGAGAGAAAGAGAGAAAGAGAGAAAGAGAGAAAGAGAGAAAGAGAGAAAGAGAGAAAGAGAGAAAGAGAGAAAGAGAGAAAGAGAGAGAGAGAGAGAGAGAGAAAGAAAGAGAAAGAAAGAAAAGAAAAGAAAAGAAAGAAAGAAAGAAAGAAAGAAAGAAATCAAAAGAGAGAGAGAGAGAGAGAGAGAGAACAAAAAAGAAAGAAAGAAAGAGAGAGAAAGCAATCTCAGCCATTGTGTCTTCCAACACGGCTTCTTTGTGTCTTGTTCTAGTCTAAGCTGGATCGTTTAGAGCCCACAGTGGGCTGCTGGTGCACAGTTTCCCTCTTGGCTACTTTCCAGGGCCCCTCAGGTGACAGCTGAGAACCACTGGACAGGTCCGTGGGTGGCCAGCAGTTTCCATTTCATCTTTCTGATCCTTTTTCTTGACTTTATCAGTTTTCCTAATTTCTTGATTTAAATGTTTAATGTGTATTGCTTGTTTAGTAATTTCATTTCTGTCCTCTATCTTTTCTTTCCCTCTTCCCTTTTTCTTCTTTCTTTTCTTTTCTCTCTGCTGTGCTAGGGATTGTCCCCCAGGCCTCATGCATGCTAAGCAAGCATCACCACTGAGCTACATCTCAGCCATTTTTATTTTGAGACAAAGCCTTGCTATATTGCCCTTTTATGAGGCGGGGCTCAAACTCATGATCCTCCTATCTCAACCTCTCAAGTAACTGGGGGTTCAGGTATGTTGACACACCCAGCTACTGATTAGGTAACATTTAAATTCAGGTATTAAAAACTAAGGAAAATAAGTTGAGTTCCAAATTTTGTCTTTAACCACGTGGAAAAAACTGACACTTGAGGGCCCAAGGGCAGAACCAGATCCTGAAGCTCTTCTGATGCTCCCAGCCTGCACAGTGCCTGCTGGCCACTCCCCAGGGAGCTTTGAGGAGCCCTAGAAAGTTCTCTTCTGCAGTTTGCAGTCTGCCAAATGACAGTAGTTATCAGCTACCCCAAAAAACTCACTGGGGTCCTCAATAGTTTAACCAAATTGATTCACAATCCTGGGGTGTGGTATTGTAACAATAATTATGTCTCTTTGGTGATTTTTTCTTTTGGCAGGATCTCACTATGTTGCCCAGGCAAGGCCTGAACTCCTGGGCTCAAGTGATCCTCCTGCTTCAGCCTGTGAGCAGTGGTGAATCACAGGTGGGCACCACACAGCCCAATGGCTCCATGCTCTCCCAAGTGCGAGGAAGGTGGACCTTCAGTCCTCTAACAAACTGTTCATGTCCACCACTCTGACAGCTGTCGGTGTCTGTGTGGCTGGGGGAAGGAAACTGTCCCTCCAGGTCACATTTGACCTTTCCCAGCCTCTCTGGAGAAGAACATGCTGTTCCTCCTGAGTGTTTGTGTTCTGCACAAGGTAAATCCAGAAGCGACATATACTCGGGAGAATAGCCCTTTCCTGATCTCGTTTCCAGGGAGACTGCCTCGATGTTCCCTACCTCCTGGCCCTGAGACCCTGGACCCAGGTGATGCACCCACGGAGCCCTGGGAACCTCTGGGACAGTTACCACCCCACCTAGCAGCCCAGGTAACTGCTGCCACCTGACAGATACATTTCAAATAACTCTTTACTGACAGTGTTACATTTTCATAAGAGAAACTTCAAACTACAGCAGTTCTTTGTTTGTTTGTTGTTTGTTTTTGAGACAGGGTCTCACAGTGTAGCCAAGGCTGGCTTCAAACTCAAAAAAGAGAAATAAATTAAATTTTAAAAATTAAGAAGAAAAGTGATCTTTTTGCTTCAGCCTCTTAAGTGCTAGGATTACAGGCATGCATCACCAAACCTGGCCCTCAACAGCTTCAATATAAAACATCCCTGGTTTGCAGTATCCAGCAAAGTAACCAGTAACATCCCAGTGTGTTTTCTGCTGTTTTTTTTTAAGTCATTACTTTACTATACTTTTGCTTACAGGGGGAATATTTTTAAATGTTTATCAATATAATATGTAAAAAGATTGGCATCTTTAATAAAAATGTGTCTATATTAGCTGGGCATGGTGGTGCACTGAGTTCGAGGCCAGCCTAGACCCTGTCTCAACCCTTCCCCTAAAACATAAAAAATAAATAAATAAATAAAATAAACTAGTTTTAGCTCATGGGCTATACAAAAAATAAAATAAAATAAAAATGATGATGGGCCAGATTTGGTCTATGAACTATTGTTGGAACCCAGGGAGTACTGAGTTACATCCCCAGCCCATTTTTTAAAATTTTATTTTGAGACAGGGTCTGACTAAATTGCCTAGATGGTACTTGACCTTAACCTCCTAAATAAGGATTATTTTGTGTATGTTTTTCAGTACTAAGGACTGAGCCCAGGGCCTGTGCACTGAGCTATATATCCCCAGCTCTCTTTAAAATTTTATGACATAGGGTCTGTCTGTATCACTGAGTTGCCCAGGCAGGGTTTAGACTTGCAATCTTTCTGCCTCAGCCTCCCAGAGTGCTTCTGGGATATAGGTGTGCATTGAAATGCCCAGCTCTGTGCATTTTTTCTACCGTGTGAACATAGCAAACTCTTGTCCATTGTCTTACAGATGGGTGATTCACGCTGCATTGTTCTGCTATGACCCTTGTTGGAAGCATCTTTGTGCATCCGTGTGCAGTGTTTCTAAAACCAGGTCTTAGGGTGTATGTATTTCAGCTTTCCTTAGACATTGTCAAATAACAGTCTGAACCTACCAGTTTATGCCCTCAAAATAACACAGAGACCCTTTACAATTTGTGACATAGAGGTTATTTCAAAGGTCAACAGAACAATCACCTGTATCACTATTACATAATAGTGATGTTTACCTGTAACCCCAGTGCTCTGGGAGACTGAGGCAGGAAGATGGCAAGTTCAAACCCAGCTGGGGCAACTTAGTGACCTAGTAAGATTTATGTCTCAAAATTTTAACACTTGATAAAATGGGCTGAGGATATAGCTCAATGAGAAGACCCTGGGTTCAAACCCACCCCCAGTACTAGAAAAAAAGAGAAATAAATTAAATTTTAAAAATTAAGAAGAAAAAAATTAAGAAATATTACTTAAATATTAAATAATTTTTAAAAGAATTAATAGAATTTTTAAAGAATAGATTTCTTTTTAGTTTTACAGAAACATTTAGTGCAAAGTACAGGCTCGTTGTCCTTTCCTAGTCCTATAGCTCACATACTGTGTTGTGGGATTCCTATGACAGCTGGTAAAATGGTTCCTGAAGGGGCCCAGGCATGCATGCATTCTGTGGGTAGGCAGGACAAAGTGTGTCTGTGGGACATTGCCCACCCTGTGGCTCTCCTCCCCCAACCCTGGCCACTGCTCATCTTCTGTGTGTCCCAAGTCTGTGCTGTCATAGATGGAATCATAGCATAGCAGCTTCTCAGACAGGCTCCTCTGCCTTTGTAGCATCTATCTAGGCTTCTTCCATGTCTTCTTATGGTGTGGTAGCTCTTGTTTGTTTAGTTTTTTTGAGACAGGATCTTACTATGCAGTTTAGGAGGCTGGCCTTAAACTCACTGTGTAACCCAGGCTGGCTTCAAACTCACAGCAGGCAATCCTCCTGCCTCAACCTCCTGAGTACTGGGATTGCAACTGTGTGCCGCCACACCTGGCTTCTCATTTCTTTTTATCGTTGAATTACATTCCAATGCTCCACAATTTATTTGAAGATTTATCTTTTCAAAGTTACATTTTCAAGCTGTTCAGGGTCTTTAGGAACAGAATGGATTTTTATCCAAGAATTACGGCCAACAACTCTGCTGAACAAGTTAACGCCAATAAATGTGCCGGCTGTTTCTCATGGACAGGCTTCACAGGTGGGCATCAGTGTGGCTGGGGTGGTGCCCATATTGCGCCCTGGCCAGGCCCCTCCTCTCCATGTAAAGAGCTGACTCTCACTGCATTTGGAGGGATGGGTCCCACATTTTACTATCAAGTACATGGTTTAGAGTAGGTTTGGTTATGTTGCACCATACAAAATTGCCATTTTTGTCATTTAAAAATGGCCAGTGGCTGGGGTGTAACTCAGTGGTAAAGTTCGTGCTTAGCATGCATGAACCCTACATTCCAACCTGCCATGGCAAAAAAAAAAAGGTGAAATATCAGTGGTTTTATGTCCTCCGACCTCGCGTGGGCCTTTTGTCAGCATGGAGAAGTTCCTCCTCCAGCCCAACTGAGTTTGTACCCAGAGCAGGTCAGTTCTGCCCCAGGTGATGACTGTTCATCAGCAGCATCCCTGGGAGGTCTGATGCAGAGCCATCTTCTACTTGGAGGTGGCCTTGTGATTGTCAGCTGTGGTGCACCTGGGCCTGCCATGCAGGGAGAGGGGGCTGCTGCTGTTGCTGTGGGGAGAGCTCCCACTGCTGTGGCGTGTATGTGTGTGTGTGCGTGTGTGTGTGTGTATGTGTGTGTGTGGTTTTTAAACTGCTAATAATCAGGGCTGGGAGTATAGCTTAGTAGTAAAACTGGGCTCAGTTTCATACATCCATAATCTAAGCTACACAGGAGCTTGGGCAGGATTTCAGGTTTGAGCCCTGTCTCAGAATAAAAAGGCCCAGCAACATAGCTTGCCTGGCATGTATGAGGCTCTGGGCATGAGTCCCCACTGATCAGCTTCTTAAGGGCAGTAGTGATCTGTATCTGTTGGACATGCTGCAAGTGTAGTCTCCCAGTGTATTTGTCTTTTCCGTTTATAAACTAGAAGAAAAGAAAGCCAATGGAGCTGGTATCTTGTTTGCCCGGGTGATATGGGCTAGGTTTGCTCTGAGGCTGGTGGAACAGCAAGGTCTCAGCCATGGCAGGAGCAACACGGGAATGCTGAGCAGTACTAGCTGGGACTCCCTGATGTGCAGGATATGGAATATGAGGGAAGAGAGAGCAGGAACATGGAGAAAAGACATCCAGACCTGGGCCTGGGCAGCTGTAGAGGGAGAGGGCAGGAGGGCAGCCAGATGAGGCCCAGCCGGCAGCCACATGGACAGCAGGGGCCAGCAGGGGCCCAAGGGAGCCAGAGTCTTTGGCACAGGATGGATCTGATCTGCTGTATAGAACAGTATCACCCAGTAATACCCTGGTGGGAAGAGCAGAGGCCCATGGAGGTCGGTTGTTGGCGAAGAAAGTGAGAAGTGATGGCCCAAGAAAGTAGCCCAGGACCCAGACATGTCCCACCACAGGCCTCACTCCCTACCGAGGGACCTCAGAAGAGGCATCTGGGAAGGAGGATGATAGCCACAGAGCTAAGGTCAGAGCAGTGCCATGGGGCGGCAGCACCACAGCACACGAGGCCACCGCAGGAGGCTCGGAAACTAGGTGCACACACAGCACACAGGGGTCTCTGCACCTCTGCTGCCAAGTCCCTGAGGAGCTGCTTCTCTACCCTCACCCCCAGGCCTCAACATTAACTCTGCTTTAGGCTGGGCCACAGCTCAGTGAAAGAGTTTCTGCCCAGTGTAAATGAGGCCATGCACAGTCACTACCTAAACTCCTAAAGTGTCCCCAAATCATCAAATAAGTGTACGTCTTCTCCACTGTGGCAAAACATGTAGACGGGATGATCAACAGATACAGTGGATGTTTAAAACATTTAAGTTTATTACAGAAAAAGATGCCATTGATGCTTCTAAAAATACAGGACTTTCCCTGGCTTCAAACAAACACATTCCACCATCCTTGCCACTTTCTGTTTGTTTTTTGAGGCAGGGTCTTACTGGGTATCTCAGGCTGGCCTTGAACTCGCTATGTAGCTCAGAGTGGCCTGGAACTCATGGTGTCCTACTTCCTCAGCCTCTCGTTTGCTCGGACCACAAATATGTGTCACTGTGCCTGACCTTGCCACTTTCTGAAGCAGTGCTGGAGGTCTAGTTTTGTGATTGTCTTTATGAGGTGTGATCAAAACTACAATGAATGCTACGCCGAGTGCCATCCAACAGAAAGGCAGGCTTGTGAAAACGTTGCAGTGTGTCCTCTTCCATCTTATTCACCACATCTGCCAGTGTGACTTCTGGCTCTTCCCCAAAGACAAGATGATTGTGAGAGGTAAACATTTTGAATCAACTTAGGACATCAAGGCAGCCATGGAGAAGGACTTCTGAAACTGCTTCAGAAAGCGGCAAGAACAGTGACAGTATTCTGAGGGAGTTTCATGGCAATGTGTGTTAACTGTAGTCAGTTTTGTAAAATATAAACATCGTGTTTTTTATCATAGCACATCCATTATCTGGACCTCTACTTCTTTGTTATTAAGCATCTTATTAAACCTTATTAATCTCTTCCAAGCTGCAAAACCATCATGTTCATTATATCCAATGAAATAACTTAAAACTGGAGAAGACATCCAGGGAGCCCTCCATTGGTTCCTATGTATTTCTAATAGTAAATGGTGCCACATATGAAGTGGGCAAGGTATGCAGAGATGAACTCCTACAAACTGGTAAGAAAAAGATAAGCAGGAGAAAAATAGGCAAAGGTTGTTCAGATACCCAAGGGTGTGAGGAGGAACTAAGGAAGTGAGAGGAAACTACCTCATGGCCTCTCCCACTCAGGGCACTGTGGCAGGAGCCTGAGACCATGTGTGTCAGTAGGAGACCTGCAGCTCCCAGTGGGTACAGGGGGCTGGGCCTGCGACTTGGATGCTTCCTCCTGCTCTCTGCAGGAGGCTCTGGGAGATGCTTAAGTCAACAGGAGGACACTGCTGAGTGCACCCTGGCTGATGGAGCAGACCTGTTGCGCCTTGGGACCTGTCACCAGAGTCCCTAGTCCTGGAAATGCAGGAATGTATTCCTTCTTGCTCTATGGAAAGCTTACTGACAGATGCCATCAAGGATGCGAGAGTACTGAACTCCCCTCCTATGAATTCCCACAACAGGACCTGAAACTCCCCACGACAGAGTGGGTTCCTGGCCATGGGAGAAGGAGCCCGCCTAGCTCAGCACAGCCCATCAGCAGAAACCCTGCCCTAAGAGGCTCCACAGCAGGCCCCACGGCGGGGCCCAAGCAGGTAGAGCTTGGGTATGGCCCGGTGTGTCAGGGTGCACTTGGGTGCAGTGGGGTACCTGTCAGTGCTTGGCATGGTACACGCTTGAGCATGAGAAGCATGGGAAACTGAGCATGACACATGCTGCTGCTCTGAATAACTGTCACTGAGGTGTCACTGGTGCCTCATTTAGAGTGGTAGCATAGGCATCAAAATCGAGGGCATCTGGGTCAGTGGAAGGGCACAAGACAGCAGCATCACATATCGCTAATAGCAGCCCTTGCGCTCTGCCAGGACTCACTTCACCCTTGGATGTTCAGCCTGGGCCAGGACCTGCTCTCCTGGACACACTCCTGTCCCCTGCAGCCTGGCCTGTCTCTGAGCCATGTCATAGGAGGGTGGGGTAGGAGGGGAAGGGGAAGGGGATGGCTTTCAAGGGTAACTCTGTCCTTTATACCTCTCACAGAGGCAACACAGAATCCCCATGGTGATCTGCAAATCAAGCCATCAGAAAGAAAATAGGGCCCCAAAGCCACCCCAGGTGCAAGCAGCCCCAGAGAAAAATGGCCATGAGAGCCTCGGATCATCCTCGCTGACCAACCATTCCCTCCAGGATACCTGGAGGTTGCTGGACCTGAGCTCTAGCCCTTCCGGCCTACCCTCCCAGGATGAGTCGACTCCAGGTAGGAGAGGGTGGCCTGTCCTGGCAGCTGCCCACAGCAAGTGACGGTACAGGGGTGCGTGGTCACTGCACTCGAGGCTGATGCCATCAACCCCGGTGTCTTTTCTGCCCCTCGCTTTCCAGAGCTATGGTTTTAGCTATATGCAGATCGAGTAGGTATCTGCAAGCCTGTGTATGTTCTGTACCATGCAGCACACAGCCTGCAGGACAGAAACCAGGCCCAGCACCACGTCTTGCGGGTATACATTAGAATAGAGTCAGCTTCCTGTCCAATAGAGCATGCGTTGTGGATTGGCCTGCTTCACTGGCTGAGGCTCCACTCTATCCCCTGAGGCACATGCCAGGACACCACCAGGCTATAGCTCTGCCTGTACCAGGAGGCAGTTTTCAGGAAAATCTATTTGAAGGACCCATTCAGGGGAGCCCCCAGGAAATGATGTGCAGCAAGGGTGGACAAAGGAAAAGGTTGTTTCAAAAACAACAGCCAAAGACACGGCATGTGGGCCTGGAGTCCACCCTGCGTCCTCCCCAGAGTGTGTCCTCTTTGGCACGTTTTGTGGCACACCCTCATGTCTAATTGTTCTCCTCAGCGGGCATGTCGGGTTCTTCCTAGTCTTTTCCATGGCAGATAACATGGTAGTGAATGAACTGCACATACACTGGAGTGCACACATGGAATGCATACACACAAAAATTCTCAGTCGGGAGCGGGCATGGTGGCACTCGCCTGTAAGCCCAGCACTTGGAAAGCTGAGACAGGAGGATCACTGAGTTCAAGCCCAGCCTGAATAATATAGCGAGACTATCTCAAAGGAAAAGATTTCCAAGGAGGGTCTGCTTTGTCAAAGAATATTGCTAGGTGGGGATGTAGCCTCTTGCCCAGCATACTAAGCCCTGGGTCTGATCCCCAGCACTGCACAAAAACAAAACAAAACAAAACAAACCCCCAACCCAGGGTATTACATTCTAAATTTAGCGGCTATTGTCAAATTGGTCTCCATTGAACCTGCCCTGGTCATATTCCCACAGCCACTTTCTCCAAACCCTCTCCAGCAGGGTTTGAAACATTGCTCTCTGCCAGTCTGACAGATGTCATTATAATGATTATTTCTATTAGCAGATTGTATATCTTTTCATCTTTTTTTTTAGGGCCGGGGACATGGCTCAGCGGCACAAGTGCCTGCTTGGCAAGTGCAAGGTCCTGAGTTCGATTTCCGGTACCAAAAATAAATAAATAAATAAAATGTGCGAATTCATCTTTTTTTATCTGCCCACTTGTGTACTGGGTTACCGTGCTTCTTCTTCATTTCCAGGGGCTCATTCTATATAACGGAAATTAAGTCTTTTATAAGACAAAAATTGCAGATGTTTCCCCCCAGTTCTGCTTTTGCTTCTTCTCAGTACTGGGGATTGAACACAGGGCCTGATGCACAGTAGGCAAGCACTGTCACAGAGAGTTATATCACCAGCCCATTTTTTTGTTTGTTTGTTTGTTTTGGTTTTTGGTTTTTGAGACAGGGTCTCGCTATATAGTTCAGGCTGGGATTACAGGCATGAGCAACCACGCTCAGTACACCAGCCCATTTTTTAATCAGTTTATTTTGAGACCTGAGACATGGTCTTGCTAAATTACTAGGTTGGACTCAAAATTGTGTTCCTCCTGCCTCAGCCTCTTGAGTAGCTGGAATTACAAATGTGCACCTCCACACTGGCTTCTCATGTGTATTCTTAATTTTATGTAATTAATGTCCTTGTTTTTATCCTTTCTCAGTTTTTCACATATTTAGGCCATGCCCATCTTTTTTGTTTTTTGACAGGGTCTCACTGTGTAGCCCAGGCTGGCCTTGAACTCAGGGCAGTCCTCTTGCCTTAGCCTCCTGAGTGCTGGGATTACAGGTGTGCGTCACCTCGCCCCACTAGGAACTAAACTTTTTTTTTTTAACCCTGGGTAGCTATTAAGATGTTCCAGCACCTGACTGAAGACCCCACATGTCCCATTTGTCTGAAAGCTTGCTCTCCTTGTCATGCTGCTTTCCAGATTGTGTGGGTCTGGACTTTATTCTGCCCCATTCACCTCTTGGTCTATCCACGCGCAGAACTGTAGTATGTAAATTATTATGCTTCATGACCTCTTTCATGTTGGCTGATCTAGGATCTCCTCTGTACATTTCTTCCTCAGAATTTTCCTAAGTCTCATTACCTATTGTAGTTTTGTTTTTTGAGATAGGATCTCGTGTTGTTCAAGAAGGCCTCAAACTCCCAGCAGTTCCTTCTGCTTCAGCCTCCTGAGTGCTGAGATTACAGGCACACCACACCCACCTGGCAATCTTTTTTTCTTTTTCTATGGTCTTTAGACTCAGCTTGTCTGGTACCCCAACCCCTCCCACCAAAACCCTATTGTTAGTTTTCTTAGGATTATTACATTTACCTTCTGTCAAAGGACAAAATTACAAAAATTTAAAGATCTTAATTGGTTTTACTTTCAACCCTAGAAGGAGGCCACACATCATTACATAAAAGAGTAAGCTCCAGTGACTGGAACAGAGAGGTTGGTTTCACAAAGAACCTGAAGAAAGAAAACCAAAGCGCACCCCGCGTGGGGGTTCCAGAGTTACTTTCCTTTAAGACAGAACAGGAAGACAGGGTAGGAAAATAACTCCCTGATTATCATGGGCCAGGTTGCTTCTTCCCGAGGGAAGCTGTCGAGGCCCGGAGCTTTGTCACCGCTGTACAGATCGGGGCCGGCCCCCGCGGCCAATTGGCTGTTGCCTCTCTGGAGGCCCGATGGACAGCTGTGGTCAGCGTGGGGACGCGGGATGGCATGAGGGATGCCATCCTGGTGTTCAGCGGGCCAGGACAGGCGCCAGTTCCCAGGGGTCGCCTCCGCTGAGCCCCCGGGCATGTGCTGGGAGCGCTCAGAGGCTGTGCTCCCCTCCAGTGCGTCTGGGCGCGGGTCCACAGTCCTGCTCCCCGGTCCGTGCAGCCCACACTGTCCCCCTCTGTGGGGAGTTGCTTTGGCGAAGTTCATTTTCATTTGCTCTGCTCGTTTCTTTTTCGTTTTTTGTTGCAGCATTTTCATTCTCCGTTTCCCCTTCTTGATCCCCTATGTGTGGAAAGTTAGGGTAGGAGGCGAGGCCAGAGCACCATAACTGTCTTTAACTCGTGGAGCTGGAGTCTCCGCCCACCCATGCAGTGCCCTTGCCTCCTTCTGCGCAGGAGCACAGGAGGTCCCCGCCCCGCCCCATCCTCTCCGCCTCTTCCTGGAAGCGTACACAGCCTTTAAGAGAAAGATTTGAGGACTGGTGGGGCAGTGGGTCGTGTTGTCCGAGCTCCTTGAGAAGCCGAGGCAGGAGGACCCAAGTTCCAGGCCAGCCTGGGCAACTTATGAGCCCATGTCTCAAAACTTAAAAGTAAAAGGGGGTAGGGAAGTGCCTCCATGGTAAAGCACCCCTGGGTTCAGCCACAAACACCAAAGCCCAGGGCCTCCAGATCAGCTGGCGCGGGGATGTAGCTGAGCTCCCGGCCCACCTGTCCTCATGGGCACTGCCTGAAGCTGCTGCTTACTCTGGAATTTTAGCTGTTTGTCTCCATGAAGATGAAGTCTGCAATCTTTTTTTTTTTTTTTTTTTTTCCTTCTCTTCTTTATTCCTCTTTTCTTTTGGATAATTACAGGAAGAACAAGAGAGGCATGATGACTTCTCAGGACAGAAATCTGCCTTGTGTTCTGATAAATGTGACCTAAGAAATGCCCACAGCATGCTGGGCATGGTGGTGCACTCCTGTGATCCCAGCTCTCAGAAGGCTGAGGCAGGAGGATCCAGAGCCCAAGTCCTGCCTGGACAACTTAGTGAGTGAGACCCTGTATCAAGGTAAAAAAATTTAATAGTGCTGAGGATATAGCTAAGGGCAAACACCCTGGGTTCAACTCAAGACAGAGAAAGGAAGGAAGAAAGGGGGAGAGAAAGAGAGAGTCAGCATGAGAGAGAAATAAAGAGAAAAAGGAACTCCAGTGCAACAACACAATGTCCGGCTGAGCTGCCCAGTCTGGAAGACTGCTTTTCTTCAATAGTTTGATATAGTCTCATCATTGTGAGGCCTCTCATATTAGTGGTGTTTTTCTAACATCTTACTTATTAAAATTTTAAGTCCCATACTGCTTCTCATTTGTCCCACCAATTTTTTGTTTGGTTGGTTTTTTGTTTTTGAGAGGGTCTCACAGTGTAGCCCAGGCTGACCTTGAACTTGTGATCCTCCTGCGTCTACCTCCCAAGTGCTGAGATTATAGGCATGTGCCACCACATTGGTTTATCCTCCACCAATTTCTCTTTTTTTTGAGACAGGGTCTTACTGTGTAGCCCAGGCTGACCTTGCACTCACAGTGATCATCCTGCCTCAGCCTCCCAAGTGCTGGGATTGCAGGCATGTGCCACCATAACCAGCTATACCACTAGTCTCTTCAATAAATAACATCAGTATTTTTCTTTATTTCCCACTGCTAACTTTGGAGTCTGAGCTATTGGGGACTGGTAGTCTGTAAACCGCAGTAAATCTGACTAAGTTTGTGTTCATTTATCTTTTTTATTTTCCAAAGTTCTCGTTGTAGTCTCTTGGATAATTTTTTTCTTCCAAGCTGATTTTTAACAGATGTTTTTGTGTAGGAAACTTTTCAAGGCCTCAGCTGCTCACATTGAAAACACGTTAGCCTGAGTATAAACTCCGGCCCCGTGTTTCTGAGGAGCCACCAGCTGAGCACTTAGATTGTCACTGACAGAGCCCAAGTCCCCGGCGGGTGAGTGATGCATCTCCAGTGTGCTTGTGGGATGGCAGGACGGTGGCATTTCTCAACTGGGAGCTTTGGAGCCTGGCCGCACACTGGCACTGACCCCACAGGACCCCTTGGGCTCCATCAAACTGGGTAAAGTTAAAATTTGGAGTCACAGACTCACAGAGCTCCAAAAACCGGTGATAAAACCCAGGACCCACCTAGAGTGAACGTGTGGTGGGTGATCCCCAGCCTCAAAGTCTGCCAGTACCCAGGGTATGAAGGGCACACGCAGGCACCACACGCTGCCACCCATGTCACCCCAGCCTCCTCCTGGCCACTAGCTGTGTCTCTGGAGCAGAAAGGGTGAGGAATGTGGGCAGCTCAGCAACAAGACACTAGGAGGCCAGAGGGCTGGCCCAGGGCTGCGCAGCACAGGAGCAGCAGGTGCAGTGCAGGCAGGCCAGGTGGGAGAAGAACTTCCTGCCTAGAAGAGGTGCTCCTCAGTTGGAACACAGGAGTTGGTTTTTTTTTTGTTGTTGTTTTTTAATTTTAAAGAGTAAAAGAAGGATAACAATAATGGGGGGGCTTACCAAATTACAGACAAAGTGGTAGGAAATTATCAATGGTTATTGTTTTACATATTGTTATCTACAAGATAGTTTCTCAGGAAAACAAATAGACAAATAATAGTGAGTGACAGACAAAAGAGGTAGGAGATTATCAGTAGTTGTTGTACTATACTTTGGTATCTTCAAAGTGGCTTCTAAAGAATATAAATAGAGCTATACATGAGTGACCTGTTGAATAATCATTAACTATTCTCAATGGTTGTTGTAGGAAACACATAATAATAAACATGGATTCATTTACGAAATAAGATAGGAACAATACAAACATTACAGAGTTATGGATAGATTAGTAGGAAAATATCAATGCTGTAATACATGGTGATATCTTCGAAGTGGTTTCTCAGGAAGACAGAGATACACAAGAAGGATCTAACAAGTAGTTACAGCCTAAGGGTTGTCAAAAATCAAGTGAGCCATCTGGGGTGAAAACCATTTTTTGTAGCATTTTCTCTCCAGCCTCCCATCGCATTGGGACCCCACAACCAGTTAGTGTCCTCTCCCCAACTGTCAGCACAGGCAGAAGGAATCCTGCTGCAGACTTCTCTGGAGCTCCACCACAGCCTGTACTGACAGGGGAAGAATGGCTTCCAGGGAGTCTCTCCCAGGTATTGTGCAAGGTCCTCCTGGTTTACAGCTTCCGAGTGGCTCTCGTGACCCCAGTCCACAGGACCTCTGACTCCTTGGGCTTAGTCTGCATTCTCATGTTCTCCGACTCCTTGTTCAGCAGCTGCTCCTCCACTGACTCTGGACCTTTCTGATACTCAATGGCAGGAGCAACAGTGGCCCATTGTATGGCATGTATTCCCAGGGGTTTTTCCATGTTTGAATGATTCACACACGTCCGTGGGTGGGCATCTGCAGCCGGTGCATGGTAGGCCAATCGTGTCACTGTTTCTCTGTGTCATGATAGTTCTCAGTTGAGCGGCGACGGCCGGCCTAAGGGCCAGCGTGCAACAGCGCTTGCTGCCACATGGCTCCCCATGCACCAGGGGCCCTCCCTCCGGGGGCCTATGAGGCAGGGAGTGAGCCACTGGTCAGAAGACCGGCACTCCCTGCCCGTGGCTCCCCATGCGCCAGGGGCCCTCCCTCCGGGGGCCTATGAGGCAGGGAGTGAGCCACTGGTCAGAAGACCGGCACTCCCTGCCCGTGGCTCCCCATGCGCCAGGGGCCCTCCCTCCGGGGGCCTACAAGGCAGGAAGTTAGCCAGCCGGAAGGAGTTGGTTTTATTGTTTAAATTACTTATTTTTATTGGTTTTTAAGTTGTCTGTGTGATACATATGTTCTATGTACTTTGGGTATATTTTATAACAAAGTTGTAAAGAGGGAAAGAGTGATCAACTGTGTGGAATTCTGCAGGGAAATAAGTGCCTTAGTCTCCTTCTCATCACTGGGACAAATAATACTTGGTACTGGGACAAATACCTGGCACCTGCATCCTCCTTTTTTTTTTTTCCCAGTTTTTTGAAACAGGGTCTTGCTGACCTTGAACTCACTTGTAGCCCAGATTGGCCTCAAACTGGCAGAGATTCTCCTGCCTCAGCCTCCTGAGTACTGGGATGGCCCCTGCATCTTGACAGAGGAGTTTACTCTGGCTCTCAGTTTGTAGAGGTTTCCATCTGTGGTCAGTTGGCCCCAAGGCAGTGGACTGTAGCAGAGAAGAGCTGCTCATCTAAGGACAGCCAGGAAGCAGAGAGAGAAGGGAGGAGACAGAAAGAGAGATATAACATTCCACATCACAGGTCTCACCACCAAGGACCCCTGTTCCCTCCAGTGCCCACTCCTGACAGCAGGCCAGCTGTGAGCCTTCCAGATACAGGAGGCTTCAGGGGCCATTTTAGAGTAAATCATAGCAGGTCAGGACAGAGACATGATGAGTTGTTTTGGTTTATTGAAACAGGGTCTCACTCTGTAACTCAGGCTGGCCTTGAACTCAAAGTGGTCCTTCTGCCTCAGCCTACTAGAATAACCCCTGGTTTTACCATGGTGGAGGTCCCTGGTATCAGTGGAGTGGCAGGGGTTGTCATGCCAGGCTTCTGGTGGAGTGGCCCAAGCTGAGAGTGGGATGGGTGACCTATTCAGCAAGCTCTGCTCAGAAAGCAGCAGTCAGGAGACAGGGTCCGATGGGGCAGGGGTGGCAGGAGACCTCCTCGTGCAGGAGAAAGACAGGGAGACTAGGACTGCTACAGAGCAGGGGCGGAGGCAGGCTGAGGCGGAGCCGGGACTGTGAACGTGCCACACTTGTGCAGGCATGCGAGCCTGTGACAGCCACATACACACTGGCAAGACTCCTGGGTCACAGAGAGAGGCCTGTGTCCTGGTGGAGTGGGACTCAGGGTGACCCAGGGACAGTCTTATACATGGCCTTGAGCCCCCCCACCATACAGACACCCTTGAAAAGAGCTGGTTGTGGTGTTACACACCTGTAAGCCCAGTACTCTAGGAGACTGAGGCAGGAGAATCTCAAGTCAGAGTTAGCTTGGGCAACTCAGAGACATAATGAGACCCTGTCTCAAAATGAAATGTAAAAAAGCCAGGTTTGGTGGTACAGGTCTATAATCCCAGCACTAAGGAAGCTGAGGCAGGAAAATCACTGTGAGTTTTGTCCAGCCCAGGCTATAAAGTGAGGGAGTTCAAGGTCAGCCTGAACTATGTAGTGAGATCCTGTCTCAAAAAACCAAAAGTAGGGGCTGTATACTGGATTCAGTCCCCAGTACTGGAAGAGACAGAGACATCAGGCAGGAGCACATAGAACCAGGTGACAGGTCCAGCATGATCGGATAGTAGAAACAAGGTCCTGGCACACTCCCTTCATTGCCTCATCTTACACAGCACACAAAGCCACAGGCTCTGGGAGGAGGAGGGTTGCAGAAAGGGTTGTGAATGCCTTTGGCGAGGGGCAGAGCTGCAGGGAGTGAAGTGGGGCTGACCTGTAGGAAGCATAGCAGTGAGCAGACAAGGCAAGCAGTAGGGCGCTCCTCTGCGGCCACTTGCAGTGACGTGCAAGGCAGTTGTGGCAGCAAGGCTGTATGTGGGTCTGGCTGTAGCAGGGCAGGGCACAGTGTCTGGGCTTCAAGTCCCAGGACAGCCAGCGGGGTGGGGTCAGGCAGCACTTCCTAGACCTGAGCTCATGGTGGCACCACACAGAGCAGAGTGAAGGGGTCAGTGCCCCTGCCAGGCCACACTCACATGGCCACATAGATGTAGGAGAGTCAGCCCTCAGGACAGAGGGAGGAATTGCAAGGAAGAAGTCGGGCTGGGCAACCTGTTGAGACCCGGTCTCAAAATGTTAAAAACAGCTAGGAATGCAGCTTTGTGGTACAGTACCTCTGGCCCAGTCCTTCCTACTGAAAATAAAAAAAAATAAAAGCTAAAAGATGCATTTCAGCAGTGAGGCTTTTTGTTCTCCCTGTAAAAGATCTCACCATCTCAATGACAATGATCAGTGCAACCTAG